GGTTTGGTGGAAATGTAAAGTTCAATATAGCCTGGTCGCACCACACCATAGTACAAATTACATTTCGTACTAAGGTCTGGATGTGCTCCATTGAGTCCGTGAACAGGTGGGAGGGTTAACTTCTTTTGCAGATTGAAACGATTGGATCTGAGTTTACCGTCACATATGTAATGCGCCCGAGTGAGTTGTTAGCATTTAGCATTTAGCCTAGCCATCTCCTTTGCCGCTAACGGAGCCCTTGGTGAGTAGCGCCACAATTTTTGCCAGCGATTACATTTGCTAAACATTACTCTTGCTCCGGCTTCCATTTCTTGATAGAACCAGACCGGATTACTTTACTAGCGCATCTTTCCCCATTGTCAAACTACAACCGTAGTTCTGCGCAAACTCTTGATGTCACCCACGTCTAACTACAACACCCGCCTCCCGTGCTCGCTGATTGGTCGGATGGAATTCAACCGATTGTAATCGCTAACACAGGGACCAGACTCAGACGTTACATGCAGGAAATGATAATTGACCGGAGAGTACGGATGGATAAGGCCAGGCTAGGTGCAATATAAACATGTTTTATTATGATAATATTATTGTCATTATTATTATGTGGCCAATATCTTCATAAAAATCAAAGAATAAATGGAAATGTACAACATGTTCTGTTATATAGTTAGCGTAAAAACAATCTTCTTTTCTTTATGGAAAAACGTTTATTGCCATCAACAGGTCAACTCTCGAGATTTATCATCTAAAAAGAGATTTGTTTATTTATATTTAGCTGTTCCTTTTCCGAAGTCAAGCTGTATGAAGTGAACAGTTCTGTTTTGATCCTCAGCTGCTTGGATTCAGCTGTTTATGGGTTAGGGTTATGGTTAGGCATCAAGGAAAACAAATGATAGACTTATAAAAAACAATATTTGAATGAATGTCGAATTATGATTTGAAATGTTTATTCAGTTTCCTTGTATTGCAATCGCTTTTAATACTGTATGTTTCAACTTTTGTGGTGTGGATTGATCCTGAGTGGAGGAAGACTAGCGACCACGGGATCCAAACATAAATGCAAAACTAAATAATAAATACTTTGTAGGAAGAAGGAAATCTGGCTATAGCTAAAAGGCTGTTTTGTTTACTTTTGCTTTTTAAATTTGAAAGTTTGAGAATAAACAGCTGTTGTTTGTCCCTTATCCCTTCAAAGCACTAGTTCAGGCATGACCAAATTCAGGCCCGAGGGACAATCGTGGCCCTCTGTGTCATTGTATGTGGCCCTCTGCCTCGCTAACCCAACGTAGTCTTTGAGATCCTAAACAGAAGTCGCTGTGTCATCCATCCAACTTCAGCTCAGACAATATAGACATGTCGTACCTCGTTCTAAAGCCTAGTACTTCTGGAATTCAGTCGTTGACTTTTGAGCTGTTGAGAGGATAAAATTTGTCATTCAGCCAACTTCAGCTCCGTTATAGCTCATCATAAAGCTCAGAACTGCCCGATGCCAGTCATGACAGTTCTTCAGTCCGTGACGTCAGCCCCTGGACTAGTCTGGACTAGTTTGGACTAGTCTGGTGAACTAATGTGGCCCTTTTACAAAAATGTGTTCCTTAGTTCCTTGTGAAGTGCATTGAGTTGCCCTTTCCTCTATGTTCAATGTGTGATATTTTACATACAGTACACCTGAATTTCTTCTACTAAAGTATCTAACTATCTGTCTATCTACAGCCACCACTCCATCCTAACAACTGCCTTTTTCCTCACGGTTTACACTCAGCACTACGCTCGAGCAGAATCGATACCAGGCAGTTCTAGAGCGAGTTAAAATCACGGCCGTTCGTGTGTGTGAGCGTAAGTGACATCTTTGAGGCTCACAAAAACCAGTCCTGCAGAGCTCCATACATAATGGCCAAGTCTTGTGAGTGCACTCGCTTGTTTAAAGGTCATTGCTCGTAGCGAACACAGACAGGAGGCAAACAAGAGAAAAAACAAGAACAAAAAAAGTCAGAAACTAGTTCGAAATTTGCCCTAAAATGACGGGAAATCTTTGCAAAATGTGCTGCTTCTTGTGGCGTTCAAAGCTTCGCTGAGCATTTACACAATCCATACCTAATTTTACACATCCCTTCATCTCGCCGCCTGCATCGATTCAGTCGTGAAGACTTCGAATGACAAACTACTGCTTTTGCAAAGAGGTTGTCCTGTTTGTTATGTTCTTTTCCGAGTAGAGACAAAGAGCGACGGTCAATACTCCCACGAGTTAAGAATGCCAATTACCTCTGTAGATTGGTCTCTTTTGAACCATTGATTTGGACTCTGAAGGAGGGAATTTAAACAGTAATATAACACAGAACTTTTATGTGACTTTTGTGCGATTTGTTCAAACTTGGCTGGTCATTTAAACACTATATAGTCAGTATGAGTCTATAGAAGTCAGTTTCCCACTTGGATTTTTGTATAGAATCCCAGCACTAGTTATGACACGAGTTAAATGAAGGAGGCCCCAAAATCCAGGAATGCAAAAAATATTGATTTAATTTAGGGCTGTCAAACGATTAATTTTTTAAATCGAGTTAATTACAGCTTAAAAATGAATTAATCATAATTAATCGCATTTCAAACTATTGGCAAAATTATGCCATATTTTTCTGTAAATGGTTGTTTGAATGGATAGATAAATGACAGCTTAGTGAACATATGTACTGTATTTGTTTGTTATAACAAAAAATCCATATAAAATGGAATTAACATTAATAACATTCTGTCTTTCTGTTTAGACTCAGACCAAAACCATTGTTTGTTACAGATGAGGGACATTTAAAAATAGTCTGAAATGCAGAATGTCATTAAATCTGTTTGATTTGCTCACACCATTGCTTTTTTTGGCACAACTAAACATGAACTGGTAGTCGAAAGGAAAATTAGGTACCTCAGCTTTAATTTAGCGAGTGCGCTTCGGGAGAAGACACGAAGGAGAGCTCCGCAGTCCAGCTTCAGCGCTGTACATATTATGTGCATCGGTTACGCAAAGACACGTACGCACACTAGAGAATAGTTCTGTAATAGTTCTGTGCGTGGTCTTGGATATGATCCCATTACGCAGCGCCGTTCGCCGTGATCACAGCCGCTGGAGGTGGGACCTGTTGTCCAGAGCGCTGTGGCGCCCGCAGCTCATCATGCAGAGTTCACGTGTGTATTCTTTCAAAACTTGAATTCCCAGAGGGCCTACCTGCTCTGTCCCCATCTTACACACGCATGTGTCCGCGGCATTCTGAGTGTTATTATGGGATGCATGGACATGCGTCAAATGCGTTAATTTTTTTAACGTGATTAATGAAAAAAATTTATTAACGTGCGTTAACGCGATAATTTTGACAGCCCTAATTTAATTATGATCATGAAATTAAAGTCCATGGGTAAACACAAACTCAAAAATCCATAATCCAAAATGAAAAATGGCAACCAGGAAACGACAGACCAGGAAAAACAAAGACCAGCAACAACTGGGAATGAGCACAGGGAAAAAATAGACACAGAGAGACACAGGGGAACAGGACAGGAAGTAAAACTTATCTCGAAGGACTTTACAAAGGTGTCGATTCACCAACACAGATCAGAGAATCAAACAGTTAAAACACAAGAAATGCAATGAAAACACATAGAGCCATTGATCCATAAGGGGCGGATGACCAATGTCCATGAAGGTTAAATGTCCATAAATGTTGTAGAATGTTGATTGTCCTGGATCTTCACCACTGTCCTGAAGGTCAAAGCAAACTTAATTTGTCGACTGGCGACGCGGCAAACACGGAGGGGAGCTTCCGTACTTCTGCCTTGGTATAAAACCATGTAAATGCTCTGAAACTCTGCTTGTGTTGTTTGCGATGTGAACCAACAATAAAACATTTTTCAGAATCAGAATCTTTTTATTGCCTATTTAAGTAACAGGAAGTAACAAACACGTAATTTGTGCAAACAAGTTGTCCATCCATCCATCCATTTTCTTCCCTTTAATCCATTTCTGGGTCAGGGGGGTGGCAGTCAGAGATGCCACCCAAGTCTCATAGCACCAGCCCCTCACTGACCCTCTGCAGGTGGTGAGTCCACAGGAGGACGGCTGCTCTCTGAGTGTGAGCATAGCCTTGATCTTTCAGTGGGGGCTTTGGGCAAAGTGGGGTTAAGTGTCTTGCCCAAGGACACAACGACAGCAGTCATCAGTGGGAGTCGGTGGAGAAGGTGCAGAGGTGGGAATTGAACCCACAACCTTCTGGGCTTAAGGCCAATGCTCTACCAACTGAGCTACTGTCGCCCCCCCAAACAAGTTGTAAGAGTAAGAATAGATAAAGACATGCATAAGTGCACACAATAGACAGCTGAGACAGGTTCCCAGACCTCCTCAGCTTTCGTTATTCTCTTGAGTTGGTGGAGGACGCAGGCATGTCTGAACTTCTAAACATCTACAGAAGTCATGTTTTATAGTTGGTTCACTGCATAAGAGACACAACCAGAATGTCACAGCGTTCACATGGTTTTATACCAAGGCAAAGTTTGTAAGTTCTCCTCAGCGTCTACCACGGCACCAATTGTTTTCTTCAACCTTCAGAAAACCAAAATATCAAATGGAAAAGTACTGACTTCTGCAGACTGTTGAAATGACCAGCTCAGCTTTAACATACTTGCACAAAAATTCTCATGAAAGATCCATAATACTTATACTGACTTTCTTTTTAACAGAATGAAATAGCTTAGTTCTGTTTTGCATCCTGCCAACTTCTGCACTTTCTACGCTCTATTACGATGACGCTCAAAATGCAATGTTCTTGTTTTTGTGACAATGACAAAAAAAATATTGAAATCTAGAATCTTGAATATCAGAATTATTATTATTTCCATTAACAAACTAGGACTTTGCTTTAGCTCAAGGTGCAAACAAGTTAGCACAAGTAATAATGCGAACAAAATCTTGTGATATGATCAGCTTTCATCCGTTTTATGCTTTTGTCTTGTTTCTGCAGGATCCACGGTTTAACGCAGAAGTCGACCTCATCACCGGCTACAAAACCCAGAGTATTCTGTGTCTGCCAATCAAGAACCACAGAGATGAGGTAAAGGCCAAGCACTCGTTAGCGTTCTGAATAATGCCAAGAATCAGACAAAGTCATACAGATAAGAAGACCAAAAAACTTACTTCAATTTTAGCCAGTTTAGCTTACAGCTGGTGGTCTCTTTCAGGTGGTGGGTGTGGTCCAAGCCATCAATAAGAAATGTGGAGAAGACTGTGCGTTTACCGACCAGGATGAAAAGGTGAAAGTCCTCGAGGCGTTCAGTGACTTTAAAACAAAACCCAAAAGCAGAACTCTGTGTGTTTATACTGTAGCTGTGTCGCTCTTTTCCCTTCAGGACTTCTCGGCGTACTTGGCCTTTTCGGGGATTGTCCTGCACAACGCTCAGCTCTATGAGACGTCACAGCTCGAAAACAGACGGAATCAGGTCAATTTTTTTATTTGATTCTTGGTCCGTGTACATTTAATTGTGTGTGTGTGTAGTTCCCGTTTATGTCAGAGAGGACTGGACTGTACTATTTTAATTAGATCCCCATTAGCTACTGAAATATACAGTACATATTAACACACACACACACACACAGAGCAACATTTTGAGGCCTTGATATAATGTACTAAAAATGGACAAGTGGGATAGTCATAGAGAGAAACTCCATGACTTTCCCACTTGGATTTTGTTAAGTTTCCAAAGTTATACAGTAGATACCATTAGAATATATTTTTCTTTACTTTGTCAATGTTAGTCAAAGCAGGTGATGACTTACCTTACACTAACTTTTAGCCAAAGTTCAGCCTCTTTTTCAAACTGTTTTCTTTCTGTTTTTTTGCATCATGTTTATAGTTTCATTTTTCATAACGTTCAAAATAAAAAAAAATCTTACTGCTACTACTACTTTGACCACAACCTTGAGCTAACGCTAGCTCCTATTGATCTGCGTTGTCCCTCTGTGCGTAGGTGCTGCTGGACCTGGCCAGCCTGATCTTCGAGGAGCAGCAGTGTCTGGAGGTGTTGCTGAGGAAGATCGCGGGGACCATCATGTCCTTCATGCAGGCCCAGGCGTGCACCGTCTTCATCGCCGACGAGGACTCCATGGTGGGCTCTCACACTCACACCTCCACACTCAATACATCCATCACATCCAGCCGCTAGTTTTCCTGTAGTACGGATCGAAAGCCTATTGAGTGGCTGTGTCTGACCCCTCCTCACAGGACGGAGGCTCTCTTAGCGGTTACAGAGTGCTAGCATTATATGACCTAGCTTCTCTGTCATAACAAGTGTAAATCACGCTATAAAAAAGTCTATGTTTAGCTTCATTTACAGGCGGCTATAGCGCGAGCTTCCTCTTACCTTCATCTCTCACATGTTTACCTCATAAATCTGTGGCAAATGTTTATGTCGTGGCAGGGTTTGTGGAATCTTTAGGTTATTGTGTTAAATAGTTACATCCAGATGGTAAAGATTTTCCTTTTGTGAACTGTTGAGAAAGGGACTTTAGGGAGGGATTGCAATACGATTAAATTCAATTCAATGTATTTTGGTATTTCCCTAAATCACAACATCCGTTTTCTAGGAGGTCTTTACAAAGTTGTGGATTTGCCGACACGGATCAGAGAATTAAACAGTTAAAAAACAGGAAATGCAATGATAAAAATGTCCATAAATGTTAGTAGATGATCATATATGTTGTTGGATGTCCTGGATCATCACCACTGTCCTTAGACCCTCCTGCATTAACAAGGAACAACTCAAAAAACCCAGTTATGACAAAAATTGAGAAGTGAAAAGTGAGTTTTCTGTATGTTGATTGACAAATTTAACTTCACTTTTAGGATTTGTACATTTGTAGTATTTTTCGGGAGGCTGGCCTTTCTAACCAAAGAATGTTCGGCCATAGAGAAGGTAACTAACAGAAGCTATAAGAAGACAAAAACTGAGTGACATGCACCCAGAGGAAGGGCAAGGTACTGAAGCTCATTAGTGTGTTTTTAAATCATCTAAGCCAGGGGTGTCCAAACTTTCTAGTAAGAGGGCCACATTAGCTTGCCAAAATTATCCATGGATCGTAAAACTGTTTTGTTGTAGTAGCGGTTTATTTCTTCTTAGATATTAAAAATACTATTATATACAAGTACGCAAAAAATCGTAAAATTACAATTATATACAAGTATGCTCAAAAATCTTAAAATTACAAGTACGCTAAATAATAGAAAATTACTGTCTGTCAAAATCTTAAAATTACTACTGTATATAAGTATGCTTAAAATTTTTAATATGGGTGCTTTATACAAGTACGCTTAAAAATCTTAAAATTACTACTATATACAAGTATGCTTAAAAATCTTAAAATTATAATTATATACAAGTACGCTAAAAAATCGTAAAATTACTGCTATATACAAGCATCTTTAAAAAAAATCCTAAAAATACTACTATCGTGTTTTTAAGTAAGGTTAGTTGTAGCAACCTTAAAAATCTTAAAATGACTACTATATACAAGTGCACTACGTACACAGGCTGAGGTTAAAGGATTCCCTGTCAGACTTTGCATTTTCACACACAAAAAGTCATGCTTGTCGTCAATCTCCTCCCGGTTCCACACAGAAGGCCAGATCCAAAACACAACAGTCCATCTCCATCACATCCTCTCTGTCCTGGAAGCGTTTGTCTTTGCCTGAGTGGATGAAAAACACTCCGGAAGCTCGGTCCCTGTCAAAACATAACACCGGCAGCATACAAACCCGTCTAGGATCATTAGCTCGCTAGCTTTCTGGGCTGCTATTTAGGCTCAGAACGCGCTCTCCAAACTCCGGCGTTTCTGCCATAAGAGCCTCACACAACAAAACATGAAAGAGCGGCGAAGGATTTTGAACAAGGACGCTGATTTGTGCCCACTTACAGCTGGTTATGTCACCGCTAAAAGATAAGTTTGCATCAAAGCACACTGCAGAATGGGGATCGGTAACTTTTCTGACAGATATGGGAATAGTTTAGGAAGTTAATCTTTTCTTCTCAGTATATTTTGTTATTTTGTTGCTCTATACCAGACAGTGTAAAATAGCGATTACTTTACCTTGACTTAGGTCGGTAATGTAACTTAAGTTATGGGAATGTTGTGACTATGGCCAGAACTCTTACATGTTATATAACATTGGTCTCTCTCTTGCTCTCTGACCTCTCTCTCTCTCTCTCCCCCTCTCTCTGGCCTCTCTCTCTGGTCTCTCTCTCTCTCTCTGGCATCTCTCTCTGGTCTCTCTCTGGCCTCTCTCTCTGGTCTCTCTCTCTGGTCTCTCTCTGGCCTCTCTCTCTGGTCTCTCTCTCTGGTCTCTCTCTGGTCTCTCTCTCTCTCTCTCTCTCTGGTCTCTCTCTGGTCTCTCTTTCTGGTCTATCTCTCTCTGGTCTCTCTCTCTCTAGCTTCTCTTTCGCTCTCTCTTTGGCCTCTCTCTCTCTGGTCTATCGCTGATCTCTCTCTCTGGCCTCCTCTCTCGCCTCTCTCTCTCTCTCTGGTCTCTCTCTCTCTCTGGTCTCTCTCTCTCTCTGGTCTCTCTCTCTCTCTGGTCTCTCTCTCTCTGGTCTCTCTCTCTCTCTCTGGCCTCTCTCTCTGCCTTTCTCTCTCTCTGGCTTTCTCCCTGGTCTATCTCTCTATGGTCTCCCTCTCTTGTCTGATCCTCTTCCCCCCCTCTTACACCTCTCTCCCCCTACTCATGCAGTGCTGGATAAAAGAATCCCCACAATGCGTCTTCATGATGTGTTTACAATCATTTGAATTCCATTGTAGAGCACACAAAACTCTCTTGAAATGAAAACCAGCCATTTTTCCTTCAACACTGGAGATAACCCGTCGCATTTTTACTCCAGACTCCATGTCCACAACAAACCTAATCTTCTTTCGTTGTCAGCTTTTGAAAATATTGTCCTGTTTATACTGTATCTGATCCAAGTCTTCTGCCTTTAATTATACAACACTGGGTTTATTAGAACAAGATCAGCTCGAGGGATGGATTCTTTTGTTTTCTACGATCAGCAGATTACAAATTGAACACGACGTTGAGCCGGAGTCAGATTGAAATCATTTAAACTGGAGGTTGGATGTTTGTGTTTAGTAGTTGACATGATGCGTGTGTGGGTTGTGTTGCTGGAGGGAAGAAGGCAGCAGCTGCAGAGACAGATGTGGACCAGCCTCCAGCAGAACACGAATCTCCAAAAACAGACGGAGGAAATTAAGACAGAGATGTGTTATAAAACAAGCACAAAGATATTTAGTGTTAGAATAATTAACTACAGCTGTTTATAGTAGTTTTTTGTTGTGCTGTGTAGTTCAAATCTATGATCTACGGCAGCGGGGTCAAACTCATTTTGGTCAGCGGCCGATTAAAAACAATAGGAACAAAAGAATTGTAGGGATTTTTACATTATGAAGGTATTTTGGCACAATTTTGGTTGAAAATACTCACATGGCACACTACCAGCTGAAACTGATACAAACATGAACATTTTCAGCTTTTAGTCTGAAAGCAAAGTCCTTTTAATTAAAAATTATGGAACATTAAAGAAGCGAAAAAAATCTCTCCAATCTTCCCACATTATTTTCTTTTCACATTATTTTGACCAATCATGTGATTTGGAATATTTTAAGGCACACCAAACAACATCTCAAGGCGCACTAATGTATCACGGCACACTGGTTGAAAAACACTGACTTGTGTGCAGGGGGCTTGCGCAAGTCTTGAAAGTATTGAATTTTCAAATACTGTAGACCTTGAAAAGTCTTGAATTTTGTGTGAAAGTCTTAATAAAGTATGGGAAAAAAATGTATGGTAGAATTTTACAGTATGCTCAAAGGCGCTGTGAATAAGGTATTTGTATACTAGCCTTCTTTTGTTGCTAAAGCCTGGGAGAGGAGACAACAGATTCTGTACCCTGGATAATGCACCAAATTGTAAATCTTTTTCTGTTTTTTATGTCTGTATATGGTCTGTATATGGTCTGTAGCCATCAGATGTTGTTGTTCAGTGTCATATAAGCCCATGTGGGCTGGGCACTTTTGTGCATGACACTTAAATAAATAAACTCAAACAAACAAACAAACTAGCCTGTAAAAATAAACATTTCTTATAAACACAGTTGGTACAATCTCAACTAATGAAGTAGGCAGTAGGCACACAAGTGTACAAGTACATAAAGTTAAGGTATTGGGAAAAAAAGTCTGGAAAAAGTCTGGAATTTTAGTTTGGAAAAAGAGCAAGCACCCTGTATGTGACATGAGTTTTTGCTTGCATTTTCTGAAAACAGAAAATTAAAACTGGACCAAATATAAAGTTAAACACATTGTTTTGTATTTAATTATTTCACTTATATTGATGTGTTGGGTTAAAATATTAGAATAAGATAACCATCCCTCAAGTTATTAATAATATTTGAAAATAATTTTAGGGGCCACTAAAAATGGTCTTGCGGGCCGGATTTGGCCCACGAGTCTGAGTTTGACACGCCTGATCTACGGTATCTATTTTCAACTTTTAAATGTGAATATTGATCAAAATCGGTTTATTAGAGGAGCTTTGTTACCACATCAAAAACAGACCATAATAATAATAATAATTAAAGCCGCAAGCGGCGTCAAACGGCCCTCGCCGCACCACGCGAACCACCCCGCACTCAGCCACCCCGCACCAAGCCACCCCGCACCAAGCCACCCCGCACCAAGCCACCCTGCACCAAGCCACCCCGCACCAAGCCACCCTGCAACAAGCCACCCCGCACCAAGCCGCCAGCAATTAAGCCACCCCGCAACTAAGGAAACATACAGTGAAACAGGTTGGTGTAGAGATGGTTTGATGGTTGTGGGAGTGAGTTCCAGAAAGTGGGGGCGGCTGCGGCGAAGGCTCGGTCCCCCAAGGTTCGGTATTCGAGCCAATCTGGATTATTCTAGACACATCCTTCGCTCCTGAGAGTCTACAGTACGTTCCCTTATTCTGAAGTGGATTGACATAGCTGTGCCTCCCCTATGGGCACTTGTGAGCCGACAAACAGGAAGTAATTGAACTAATGGCTCCAAATTGCTATTTATTTTTTAGGATGGGCCTGTACAGTTTTAGCACAATTTCAGGGAAGCTACGAAAGCACTTACAGTATCACAGTATGGACAGATCTATATTTATAAAACTGTGCGTACATTGTAAAGGCTGTGCTCTGGGGACAACACAGGCAGAGATCTGTTGTGTGTGTCCCTCCCATGACCTGTACATGGCTAGACCAGCTGTCTCCATTACTTCTTCTCCTCCCCCCCTCCCCCGTCCTCTCTCTCCTCTCTCTCTCCTCACTTTCTCCTATCTCTCCTCTCTCTCTCCTCTCTCTGTCCTCTCTCTCTCCTCACTTTCTCCTCTCTCTCTCCTCTTTCCTCTTTCTCCTCTCTCCTCACTTTATCCTCTCTCTCTCCTCTGTCCTCTCTTTCTCCTCTCTCCTTTCTCCTCACTTTATCCTCTCTCTCCTCTGTCCTCTTTCTCCTCTCTCTCTTATCTCTCTCTCCTCTCTTCTCTCTCTCTCCTCTCTCCTCTCTCTCTCCTCTCTCTCTCTGTACTGAAGCTCCCCAAACATTTACGTTTACTGGGCCTGGCTGCTGCTGCTGCTGCTGCTGCGTCTGCTCTTCATCAGAAATCTGTGGGTGGATGCGAGTAGGGGAGGAAGTCTTGTAAATGACAGGGCTGATTTGGAACGCAGGGTCGAAGCATCAATAGTGTGGGTTTAAGACGGGGGTCTGGGTGGACTCAGGCTGCAGTAAAGTGGCAGAGACATATGGATGTGCTTATAGAGGCAACTACAGAAGTGAGGGACGGATGGTCAGGCAACAAGGAGCATTATTTTGTGTTTAAAAGCTCCCAATTAGCTTCAAATGCCTTTACTATTACATATTGTATCTCATATCATACTGTTTGTGTCTGAATCGTGACTGAACTGCATAGAATATTAAAGATAGAAACATAACATGCACTGTGTTAGGTCTTGATTCAATAGGTTATATGCATCATTTTAGTATGTGTTAGTAAAGATTGAACCAGTCCGGCCCTCGGCTTGTAGCAAATTTGGTTGTTTGGCCTTGGACGTATTTGACTTTGACATCCCTGCTCTAAGAAGAAGAAATTCGTAACACAGTGCGGAAATTTCAGTTTGATGAATACACATAATGGCATGCAGCGCCCGTTATAGGCAGAGTTGCCCAAGGATACAACAACAGCAGTGGGAGTCGGTTCGAGGAGATCTCGCGGTGGTATCGAACCAGCGACCTTCAGGCTGAAAGGCAATGGTGGATTCTCCAGAATGTATTTTAGGCATCTTTAGAGATAGAGAAGTATGCAAATAACAAGATAAAGACAGCAAGTTGAAGTGACATTTTATTTTTACAAGGTTCTTTATTCTGGGACAAACATAGATTATTTATGAGAAAAAAACTTGGGTACTGCAGCTTTAATTCAATACAGAGAAGCCATTGGAATAACAGTTATTTGATCAAGTTATCTGCAATGTCATTTCAAGGGTTCCGCGATTATACAAGCAAGAAAATACGAGAAAGATTCAATTTAGCCTCAAGTCTTGACCCAAATTTGACAATAAAAAACAAATGTTCTTTTTCCATTCCCTCTTTTCTCCTGTTATAAAACATCCCATTCCCATTGAACCCACTTAAGCGCCTTCCTTTTATAACCTTGACAGATAATCTCGCTCCAAAGTTTCACTGCTACACAAAAAAGATTGCATTTTCCAATACACTTTGATGTCCGATGTCCTGTCCCTTGGCAACGCTTGAAAATGGAAAAAAATAAAATAAGTCTTTGTAAGCCTTTGGGAGCCGAGCTGAGTAAAAACAATTCCATGTAAGGACTAGAGGAATGTTGGAATAAACTTTTGGCGAGGCGTGACGGGCGATAGATCAACATCCTCGGGTCCTGGGCTCGCATTTGCACCAAGGCCTTCGATTTGTTATGTTATAATGAGAGAGGAACTGTAAACTGGGAAAATAGGCAGAGCAGGTGCCGTAAAGTTGGATTAAGAGGAATTAATCTTGAGGAATTTGATAACACTGGGGTTTTTGGGGATTGGAGCTTGATTAGGTATAGGGTTAAGGAAATAGCTGCTGATGCGCTAACGTTTTGAAAGCCATGGACTCGTGTAAGAACTTGTTAAAACTGATTGACTCTACTTGGCTCTATACTGTACCTGGTTGTGTTTCCATTACGCTTTAGTCTCTGTTACCGTATCCTCAGATTCTGTGTATTTGTCATTTTGTAGTAAAACCTAATTAGAATACATGTGCAAAAAGACCCGAGTGTGTGCGCCAGACAAGTACATAAGTAAAACAAGCTAAAAAAAAGTGTCATTGTGAAACCAATTTGTAAAAAATTGCTGAAACAAGTTGTTGGCATATCCAGGTATCCTGTATCTCAGCAAAAACAATATCTTCTGCCAGAGGGAAGAAGCTGGAACATGGCTTATCCAGTCACGGATTATTTTAAGAGCTCGATTTAAGAACCTCTAGCCCTAGCAACCTAGCCACACCAAAGAGTATCTGTGGAAATTCGCTGGTAACCATGGCATCCAGCAGCAAACGGGGACAGAGAGCTGAGTAGAGTAGGGTAGAGTAGAGTCGAGTCGAGTAGGGAAGGCTCGAGTAGAGTAGGGTAGGGTAGAGTAGAGTAGGGTAGAGTAGGCTCGAGTAGGGTAGGATAGAGTAGGGTAGAGTAGGGAAGGAAAGGCTCAAGTAGGGTAGAATAGGGAAGGCTCGAGTAGGGTAGAACAAAGCAGCGTAAAGTAGAGTAGGCTCAAGTAGAGCAGAGCAGAGTAGAGTAGGCTCGAGCAGAGCACTCTAGTCTAGTCTAGTCTAGTCTAACTCTGAGTAGAGTAGAGTAGAGTAGAGTAGAGTAGAGTAGAGTAGAGTAGAGTAGAGTAGAGTAGAGTAGAGTAGAGTAGAGTAGAGTAGAGTAGAGTAGAGTAGAGTAGAGTAGAGTAGAGTAGAGTAGAGTAGAGTAGCAGGTCTTTAACATGTCAGGACTCACTGGTTGAAAGACACTGCTGTGGAGAGGTTTTCTTTTTCCTTGTGGTCACTTATATTTTACATCTGTTGAAAGTCAAACTAAAACTTTTTGACCAGTGGCTTGATCTACATTTAATTGTTTTTGGCGTCAAACTAGTGCTGGAAAATATAAACAACGACCTCAACTCCAGTTCAAACTGAGGAAGGATCCAGTCATTCCCAAACTGAGTGACTGCTTCACGACATAAATATGTAAAAACCAATTAAGAACAAAATTGAGTTTGGACACAGCTGGGACCGAAACTTTAAACTGCCATTAAAAATCACTTTTACATTTTTGTGGCTGTTGCAAACCAAAAACTCTCTTCACAAAGTCCAAGGCGGCTTTCTTAAATGACACGCACACACGCACACACGCACGCACGCACGCACACACGCACACGCACACACACACACACACACACACACACACTACAGTTAGCTTGGCTCATAATAAACAAACCACAAGGCTATTTCTGATGCTAATGCTAACAAAACCCTTTCTTTTGGACAGAACTCCTTCTCCAGCGTCTTTCACATGGAGTACGAGGAGCTGGTGGATGCCCAGGACGTGCCCAAGAGGTAATAAGAAGAATTTTGGTATGTTTTATTTATTGATTTATTTGAATAGAAAACTGCGACAAGTTACATAACGTGTAAAACCAGTGACTAGAAAATGAACTGAAGAGTACAAACTGAAACTGTAAGGATGTGTAAATGTGTATAAACTGGTTTACGAATGTATAAAGATATAATATGACATTTGTTTACAAGTTTTTGAAGTCCCGCCTATAAGCTAATGCAGCTAGGTGGGAGTTCCCATTTACAAAAAAAAAAGTTTTTTGAGCCGTAGTACTAGGACAAGGTGTGAAGATTACATTATGTACAGTAGATGGTGTAGTAGCTTTAGCTGAACGAATGAAGGCTCGTATAGATACTTTTTGCTCATAAGAACTAAAACACATATATACACTGAATCAGTTAAAGAAGCAGTCACAGATTTTTTCCAAACACATTATTTTAAATATTGTGGGAAAAAGTCCCTAAACCCTAAAAGAAGTCCAATTATCATGTGTTTTCAAATAGTAATGGAATTGACCAGATGCCTATAGTCTCCAAAAATTAATAAAAAATGTTTTGGAGCGGACTGATAAAAATAAAACAATGGGATGCGTTTATTCACCCTCTTCCTGTTTCTCACGAGTGCACGCACCTGAGTTATCGGATTTTCTAAAACCTAAATGGGCTGAACAGAAAATGCCAATTTCATGTTTCATCACCACTGTCCTTAGACCCTGCTGCATCGGCAAAGAAAAAATGAGAAAAAATGAGAAACCTTTTTTTATATATATTTTAATATTAAAATACACAGTTTTTCCCCTTTCAGACACACAGACAGGACCATCTGCCTGTGCATTTTTGGCCTCTGTCACATCTTTAGAATAGGTTTTTCAGTGACCAGCTTTCATTTAGTAAAGGATACATTTTTTTCCTGTGAGATAGAGACATGATATCTTCTATTTTTTTCAAAATGTTACTTGTGAATAAAACCAATTTCCTGTTTTGGATGCAACGTTGGATGCTTTGAACTTTTATGATTGCACTTATATTAGTTCAGTTAAAGTAGGTGTTCCTAACTTTTATGAATGTAACTCACTCTGTCACTGTACCACTATGACATCACGGTCAGAGAAGTTTTTGCTCTTTTTAAAACAAAACTATTTCTCAGAAATTTGCTACGGCTTTTTCTCAGGTGAAATGGCATTCTTTACAAATGTAAAAAGTTAATTTTGTCTTCTTATGTTTATCAAGACAAGAAAGTAAATAAAGCTAGTACTTCTTAATTACCTTACATCAGAGGTGACACGTGATGGTGACAAAATACCTTGTAGAACCTGCAATAAAACATACATCAGAGAAACAGGAAGAGCTTTCAGCACCAGAAGAAAGGATCATCAAAAGGAATGCAAAAAAGAAACGGCAGCATGACTAACAAGATCAACCAAGGAAAAGGAAAACCTCAAATCAGCAATATCCGACCACTGCAAAAGAGAAAATCACATCATGGACTGGGACAATACAAAAATAGTAGGAACAGAAGAACATAAATACAAAAAGTGACCACATCCGGAAACAACAGCTGGTAAAAGGCGCGTCACACCATCAAGTGTCCCCTCTGATGAAGTAAAGCAGTACTAGCTTTCTTTACTTTCTTATCTTATTAAAAAGAACCTTCAAAGCCTGCATTCTCTACAATCTTAAAGTTTTTGAATTTGGGGAAAAAGAAAACAAATTCTACACTTCCCTCTGCTGGTTGTTAAGAGGTAGGACAGTCCGAGATAATTATTCACCTTTTCTACTTATTCCCCCTATATTGTCTTCTGATTTTATTATTTCAGATTCTAAAACAGGACATAACATAGTAAATTGTCTCATTGTCCTTTTTAATTGCCAAAAATTATGCCCAATATGTCTTCTTTAAACACAGACCTCTTTTCATCCATGGTCTTATTGTTTGAATCATTAGCTCAGTCAAACCATTAGTCTCTCGTTTCCTCTTGCCCTGTTGCGTGTGACCTCCCGATTTATTCACACCACACTGAACTCCGACCGACTGTAAAATCCTTTTTAGCTAAAGTAGTAGTGTACGGTTGGACTCCAGTATTCTAAATGTTTATATTCTACCGTTTGGTGCCTATTTCTGAAACAAAAGCAAGAATAGACTGTGTTGCTAGACCAAATAGACCCGGGTAAATTGTGAATAACGAATCCTCTTGTGGGTTTAGTGGGAACCTATTGACTGTGCAGTTTGAGTCAAAGGGCTCAGCAGGATGTGTGGCCTCTTTCTCTTCGGCGGAATGTGGGAACTCTCTTCTGAGTCCAAACCTCAAACGTCACTGGATGGAGGTCAGGGCTTTGTCACAGCCGCTCGCTCGAATATTTTCTCAGTTCTGAGTTCACTACAATTAGAGCCAATCCAGGGAAGAATTTACCGTACATTTTGGAGTATAAAACGCTACTTTTTTCCCCGCACAAAAAGTCAATTCAAAATTAATTAAAAGCCAATGAGAACAAGTGAGTTTTAGGACCAGACTTAGACTGTCTGATTCACTTCCTGATTTTAACACACTAGAAGAAAAGCAAATGATTCGGCGTGGTAATAACGTGTTTTGTGTGTTTCCAATATAAATGTGCAGTATATTTAAAGGTTACAGGCACCTATAGAAAAAGCATTTGCAATATGTATTTTTCTGTTACCAAGCAAAGTTCAAGAGTCCTATATCTTTTTGTAAATATCTCATATAATAAATTGATTTTTTGATTGGCTCTGTATGGACATGGCATTGATCATCCCATATTTATTGGTTGAACTTGAAAGAATAATTGGTAAACTAATCCATTGTCCAAAAAAAGCAGTAAATTACAGGTCTAGAGTTATCTGCATTTGGTTGTGTGTTGTCTTTCAATGCATTTTTATACAAATTCTACCTGGAAACAAGCCAAACAAGCCAAATACTGAGTGTAAACAAATTTTACACCTCCCTCTGTTGGTAGCTAAGGGGTAGTACAGGCCAAGATCATTCTTTACTCTATCTTCCCCATATATTTTCAACTGCATATATATTTTCACATTCTAAAACATGACATAACAAAGTAGTCTTGTTATCATTGTTAATAGCCAAAAATTATGCATAATATGTCTTCTTTAAACACAGCCAAATACTTAGTGTATGGTATGAGATAGAGTCTGTATCTAACTGTTTTCTTCATCATTTTTCCCTGGGGGCATTGAACCCAGCAGAGCCGCAAACATAAATCAACTTTATTTTTGCGTCTGGTTTTCACTTTCAACAGGAGCAGTCGACATTTCAGAAACTTCTCTAAATAGTCTCGCTTGTGGAGATCGTTTTTCTTTTTGTCAAGAGTTTGTACTGAACGGGCTGGTTGTAGTTTGGCAATGGCAAAGAATTCGATAGTAAAGTAATCCGGTCTGCTTCTATCAAGAAATTGAAGCAAGAGGTATGTTTAGCAAAAGTCATCGCTGGCAAAGATTGTGGCGCTACTCCCCACGGGCTCCGTTAGCAGCAAAAGAGATGCCTAAAGCTAGGCTAAATGCTAAATGCTAACTACTCACTCGGGCGCATTACATACGTGACGGTAAACTCAGATCCAATAGTTTCAAATTGCAAAAGGAGTTAACCCCTCCCACCTGTTAACGGAGCTCAATGGAGCGCCTCCAAACCTTAGTACAAAATGTGATTTGTACTACGATGTGGTACGACCAGACTACGGATAAGTGAACATGATTAGAAAACCAAAAAATCAACAAAATGTGTTTAGTCCTCAACACTTACTGTAACTCACCGGTCGTCATTCACCAGTCTTTTTTGACAACAATCCTGTGTCCTACAGCTGCTAAAACTTGATGGAGTCAAGAATGATAACTCCATAAACTCTGCTCTGGCAAAGAACAAGAAAAAAGTAGTGGCTTATAATCCAGAAATCATAGAAATTAAAATGATAAACAATATATTTTGATGGAAAAGTCCACAAAATGCTGCATATGAGAAGCCGAAATCCTGTTACGTTCTGAAAAGGAGTAAGGACCCAAAATGCCGGACTGCCTAAATATAAGATTTAATGAACAAAAACAAAATCCAGGATACAGAATTTAAAATTCAAACCAGGACAAAACAGGGACAAAAACGCAATGGACCAACAACAAAGTGAAATGAGCACAGGGTTTACAGTAAATACAGTACACACAGGGACACACAGGTTAAACTCATTAGAACCAATACATCAAAATAAAACCATGAAAAGTAATCAAAAAGCCCACACCATAACAAATCCATCATTAACCATGTGCTTGTTCTCTGCAAAGGAAAATACCACTAAAACAAATTTACAGCTGTATTTTGTATTGTCCACTTTGTTTTAGTATCAACACATTTTATTTTAAAAGAGTAAATGCTTCTAATCCAGAGGTATTTTGGCCTGAGCGTGACATTATCAACTGGATGTATCACAAGGAAGTTAAAGTCTGGGAGACGAGACAACAGATTATGGATCCTGTATGAAATATTTATTGTTAATTCATGTTTATTTGTGGTCTTTAGCCAACATTGTTGTTGCTTGATTGTCATAGAAGCCTTTCGAGCAGGACACTTATATAATAAACTCAAACCCATTACAGCTCTTTAGATAGCTTCATACTTGGAAAACAGCAAAAAAAAAAAAAATGTTTTTCCCTGAAGTAAAAACAGTAGTTGATGTTTTCTATGTCCCCGACTGTCGCACTAAACGCTAACACAACTCTCTGTGTACGAATCGTCTCGGGAAAACCTCTGGAGACTTAATGAAAACCCAAAGTGGTGTAAAACCGTCCGTGTATGCGTCGTTCTGCGTTTACAGGGAGATAATGCTCTGGGACAAGGCCCTAACGTGCTCTTCGTACCGAGTTTATTGGCTTTAAATCTGCTCTAATACCTGTTCTTGGCAGCGGCGGACGATCCATGAAGCCGGATCGCAGCTGTGGTTCTGGACTCCTGGGTTTATTGGTGCAGCAGATGGAACGGTCTCAAAGAGATTTAACAAACGTCGATATGGTCCCAGTGGTCTGACCGAGGGGGGCTTTCAGGTTCCTGGTACAGTTAGAGGGAGTGAATGAGTGAGTGAGTGAGTGAGTGTAGGTGGGTAATATTTTAGTAGAAATTGAGGAACTGTAATTTTATTGGTATTAAATTAAATGTTTGGTAATGTAATTTAAAGTCTGTAAGTGTAAGACATGGCCATGTATGTATCTACCTACATTAGATAACATTAACCTGCTCAATTACACAATTACTGCTTTGTAGTACTAAATCATGTATGTTTATGTGTTTTAGTCAAAATTTGAGAAGAAAACCATTTCATATTCTGCAATGTAAATGGGATTTGATATTTTTTTTTCCTCTATTGGTCAGTAATGGGGGGCTACAGTGTCCTAGACTAGACAATATCATTAAAATTAAAATGTACTAAAATTGTGGGTGGAAATCATCCCTAATATTAGTACATTCTGTAGAAACACATTTTTATGCTGGTATTGAATTTATAATAAGCCATGTTTATTTTGAGCAAATAAGTGTACAAAAAACAAAAGCAGAATATCAAAATTGTGCATAAATAACCCTGAGTTACATTTACATAATACGAAATTATAATATTATATACACAAGAGAAACACTTGCAGATACTCAAAAAGGAGTGGGAAGAAGAAAAAAAATTTATGCTTTTAATAAACTTCAGCTTGAGTGAGAGAAAAACCAGCAAGAGATGAAAGGCATTTATAGTTGACTTCAAGACATCGGTATAAACTTTTTCATCAAGTCTCAGTTCCGGGGCCAAGTTTCCTCGGTCAGTCCTAATAAGCGTCTTCAAATATTGCCGTACGTCATGTGGCTTTGTGATACGGCTGAAGTGGGCAGCTCCAGTCCAGTCCAGGCCAATGGAACGTCCAGGACACCGCAGGACCTCCACTTAGACTGGCCCCAAAACCGCGGGGGTCTTTGCACAGTGACATTCAAACTGTACTTTCTCAAACCGAGAAGTCCATTCCAGCCCCGAGCCAAAATGTCACAGCACATCAGTCCGGGTTTAGTGCCTGATTGTGGGCCCGGTTTAGCGCCGTCACGGATTTGGCCTGGCTTTTCCTGCGGCCTCATTTAAGTCAATCATGAAGGGAAAGGAACACAGACTGGACTGAAGCAAAGGAGCAGAGCGGGGAAGAGAGATTGTTTTAATTATATTCAATTTGTGCTAAGTTTGCACACGGGTAGATGTCTCCGAAGCCAAATCAAACACACGTCATTGCAAAGACAACAATATTGATTGCGTAGAAGTAGTTTCACATCCATTGCAAGTAACAAATACACATAGGGTATCATACATTATCTGTCTATATTTCTATAAGTGAAGAGTTCATTTGCAAAAACAGATATCTCCGCTTTGAAAATGTGTAAAAAAGTTGTGTTTCTTTAGCTTAATAACATTCAGCTTTTTGTGTTGCCTTCTTCTTTAAGTAAACAATCTTTAGTTATTGGCCACTTCTGCATAAATCACATTTTGTCCGGTAATGTCTGTTGATGCATATGAAGGAAAGTTGATTCTATAAAACCAGGAATATCCAGGACACTCAACAACATTTAAGGACATTTATAGACTTACCGTATGTGTTTTTTATCATTGCATTTCTTCTGAACGGTTTGATTCTCTGATTTGTGTCCTCCGAGAATACTACTACAAAAAAAGATTGACTTGATTTGAAATGAATACAATATTTAAGTGTAGATTGGATAATACCTCTGTCTCCCCACATTCAAAGCCTCCGGTTCACTTTCACCCCATGTTATGTTTGCGAGTATCCTTTTTCCACCGCGGCAGACTTGGCTCGGGGCAGCGGGGGCTCAGGTGCGGCTACAGTAGACGGTTGTTCCACTAACAGGCAACGTTAGCCGTGACGCTAGCTGTCTGTTTGAGTGGAAGTGATGCCTTCAGCTTCTGGCACAGTAGAGACGGAACATTGCGTATGAAGCCAGGGTGCTTGCTTTAAAGTGACAACCTCCATCCAATTATCCAGTGATTGTTGTACTGCGTCTGTGCAGTAAGAGTGTGGTTTAAAACATATGAAATAAAGATGCTTCTCGGTCATTTTGAGAGAACATTTGAAAATAATACCAAATGTTTCCTAAAATCATTGTTTAATAGTTTAGATTCACAAACTCACCATTTTATTCTTATGTCTGAAAGTCCTTTCTACTGACTAGTATCGTGTATTGGTTTTTGAATATTGTAACCAAGATCAGAGAGAGAGAGAACAGAGAGAAAGACCAGAGAGAGACCAGAGAGAGACCAAAGAGAGACCAAAGAGAGATCAGAGAGACCAAAGAGAGAGAACAGAGAGAGAGATCAAAGGGAGATCTGAAAGAGAAACCAGAAAGAGAGAGACCAAAGAGAGAGAACGGAGAGAGATCTGAAAGAGACTAGAGAAAGAAACCAGAGAGAGAGACTAGCAAGAGAGAGACTATTGAGAAAGACCAGAGAGAGATTAGATGAAGACCAGAAAGACTAAAGAGAGTGAGAGACCAGAGAGAGACCAGAGAGAGACCATGTACAAATATGTAGAACTTTGTGACAGTTTTGTTCATGTGGATGGGGACAGGAATTACAAAGAAATTATCTCTAAACTAAAACTACAAATCTGACTTTTGACTAAAGGCTTTTTGGAATGTTGTGATGTCACATGAACGCGAGCTTTAGAGAGTGGCGGACTCATTTTCTAATTAGACTGCTTTGGATCAATATTAAGGTTGTAAATGTTTTATAGTGGACCAAAGAGCAATAAATCTTTATTAAATATGTGGTGTTGTGTTTCCATAGAGACCAGATAAACTACATGTACGCTCAGTGCTGTAAGAACACAGCTCAGCGGCTCAACATCAGCGACGTGACCAAGGAGCAGCGCTTTCCCTGGACCGTCAGTCTGAGTCTACTGCTACTGCTACTGCTACTGCTACTTCTGAGTCTACTGCTACTGCTACTGCTACTTCTACTTCTACTGCTACTTCTACTTCTGAGTCTACTGCTACTGCTACTGCTATTTCTACTGCTACTTCTACTTCTGAGTCTACTTCTACTGCTACTTCTGCTGCTTCTTCTACTTCTGAGTCTACTGCTACTTCTGATTCTTCTTCTTTTCTGGATTCTTTTCCTGCCGCTTCTTCTCTGGATTCTACTTGTTCTGCCTCTTCTTCCTCTCTGGATTCTTCTTCTTCTGATTCTTTTTCTTCTTCTTCTAATTATCTGGATTCTTCTTCCTCTCTGGATTCTTCTTCTTCTGATTCTTCTTCTTCTCTGGATTCTACTTGTTCTGCCTCTTCTTATCTGGATTCTGCTTCTTCTTATGCTCTGGATTCTACTTCTTCTTCTGCTTCTTTTTCTCTGGATTCTACTTTGTCTGCTTCTTCTTCTTCTTCTTCTCTGGATTCTGTTCCTTCTGCTTCTTCTTCTGCTTCCTTTTCTCTAGATTCTACTTCATCTGCTTTTTCTTCTTCTTCTCTGGATTCTGTTCCTTCTGCTTCTTCGTCTGCTTGTTCTTCCCTGGATTCTACTTCTTCTGCTTCTTCTTCTTCTTTGGATTCTGTTCCTTCTTTTTCTGCTTGTTCTTCTCTGGATTCTCTCTCTTCTTTTCTGTTTCTCATCATATTCATTGTTTGCTCCACTTCCACAGAGTGAAAACCCAGACCGCAGTAACATCAAGAGTCTGCTCTGCACTCCCATCTGGAACGGCAAAAAAGATCAAGTTATTGGTGAGTTTAGAGATGCTGATATGATGGAGCGTAGCCATGGATACGGCTACCTATTATATGAGTAGGCATTGCGCCATTTTTGTTTTAGCCTGGTCAGCCAGACTTCCACCCATCATGTGAGTCCAGTTTTAACCTGAAAATTTGAGGAAATAGGTAGAGTCTGAGCAGGAAGTGTGTGCTCCTAAAATCTGCAGCCACACCAGCCCTTTCAGGAACCGGTTTGACAACCCTCAAGGCAGCTCTTCATCATTTCACTTTCCACTATGATTTACCTCCCGTTCCAATCTCACACAGAATGAAAGCTGCCGACGTACTCCTCCACACTAAATATGCTGTTTGGTGATTGATCCACTGTCTTCATCTGACTTAAATGATTTAGAATATAGATATATAAGATATAAAATCCTTTAAACCGGAGCAGGAAACGGCGTTGTATGCGTGAAGTCAGGCATTTCTCTAATTGGTTGATTCTATCTGTCAATTAGATCATGCACCTTCCCTGACCACATAATTTGGTGGAGGAACGGGAAAAAGCAAAAGATGAAAAAGCACCCACTTCACTCACATCTCCTACTATGAGTTTGAGCACAGTCCAGAGGGGCCGATGGCGCAGACTGGAGTATGTGAATGAATAATACCATGTGAAGTGTCTCTGAGCGTCCAAAAAGCCTTTTATAAAACCAGTGCATTATTATCACTCCATCACATGTGCTTCTTCTTAAGTGTTGCTACTGAAGATGAAAGTCTTACACCACTTCATTTCCTGGATCTCTCTCTCTCTTTGAAAATGTAATGATTGAAGATCCAACCCATCCCACCTGCCACAATTTACATTTTACTCTAACCTTGAGAAGTTATGGTAAAATGTCGGAGGAGTGTATTCAGTCTACCAAGGAAACTCTATGCTCCATTATTATTTATGTTATGACGCATTTATGAATAACCTCCGATAGTCCATCCGTCTTTGTGATTACCATCTGCATAATGACCTGTTAGCAGCCACTTGGAGAGGCTTAATGGACTGATTTCCCTTCAAACGAACCAGGCCCCTCCAGCCTCCTGCTAAATTTGCGTGATGATCCATCTTTATGTATCGTGACACTGTCTGGTCTTTTTATTACACTCCCTGCAACCTCAGATTAGTGATTACATCTCCATTCAGTGCAAAAAACTGCTGAGGCCAAAGACTGAAAAACTGACCATTCATAAAAAAAAGTATTTTAACGAAAAGGCTGAAGAAGAAAAACTTGATGCAAACACACACACACACACAACTGATGTTATGTATGGAGCTAGGTCTGACACAATAATTAGCATTTTTATATATATCTAAATTGTTCAATGAATGAGGACGATTTTAACTGTAGAGGAGTGAACATACAGTAGCTGTTTTTTTTTTTTTTCATTTGACCTGGTTTTATTTTGAAATTTCTTGTTCAGTGTCTTTGTCCATCCCATGTTTTGTTCCTGGCTTGTTTTTTGTCAGATTTTTTGACCTGGACTTTGGTTTTTTTCATGAATTAATACTTTAATTGCAGACCAGAGAGACCAGAGAGAGACATGAGAGAGAGAGAGAGGAAAAGAGAGAGATAGAGACTAGACAGAGAGACCAGAAACCGGAGAGACCGGAGAGAGAGAGATACCGGAGAGAGAGAGACCAGAGAGAGAGACCAGAGAGAGAGACCAGAGAGAGAGACCAGAGAGAGAGACCAGAGAGAGACTCTAGGAAAACAGGCCTTGAACACAAATGCTAACTTTTGTGCCACAAATGTCAAATGTCATATTCTTATTTAAAGGCAGGCAAAACTGTTCTTACTTGCTGAAAAATACATGTTAAATACCACAATGGGACTTGTTTGGTAATAACATAATAATAATAATGATGATGATGATTCACTTCCCACCTCTACACCTTCTCCACCGACTCCCACTGATGACTGCTGTTAATGTGTCCTTGGGCAAGACACTTAACCCCACTTTGCCCAAAGCCCCCACTGAAAGATCAAGGCTATGCTCACACTCAGAGAGCAGCCGTCCTCCTGTGGACTCACCACCTGCAGAGGGTCAGTGAGGGGCTGGTGCTATGAGACTTGGGTGGCATCTCTGATTGCCACCCCCCTGACCCAGAAATGGATTAAAGGATAGAAAATGGATGGATGGATGGATGGATGATGATGATGATGATGATGATGATGATAATAATGTATAAAAAATTCCCCTCTGTGGGACAAGGAAAAAGGTTCTCTCATCTTATCTCTCTTATTTCTTAAGGTAGCAGTAATTTTATAGAGAAAGAATGCTATATTCACTCCTTTTCATTTCGGTAATCAAAATCAGTATCATATAGAAAAAATCTGGGCCGGTGCTGCCCTTGTTTTGAGGTCTTACTTTGTTTTCCTGGACATAATTGCCCTCTCGCTCCTCTCAGGCGTGTGTCAGCTGGTGAACAAGATGGACGAAGCCTCGGGCAGCGTGAGGGCGTTCAACAGGAACGACGAGCAGTTCCTAGAAGCCTTCGCCATCTTCTGCGGCCTCGGAATCCAGAACACGCAGATGTACGAGACCGTGGAGCGAGCCATGGCCAAGCAGGAGGTCACCCTGGAGGTCGGTTTCAGTCTGCAACTTACGCAACAACTTACTTTAGAAACCATCTTAGTCATCTCATAATGTAACATATACAGACTCTCTCTGGTCTCTGTCTCTGGTCCCTCTGGTCTCTAGCTTTTGTTTTTCTCTGGTCTCTCTCTATCTCTCTCTTGTCTCTCTCTGGTTTCTCTTTGGTCTCCTTTATTTCTCTCTGGTCTCTCTCTTTGGTCTCTTTCTCTGGTCTTTTTCTGGTATCCCTTTGGTCTCTCTCTGGTCTCTCTCTCTCTCTCTCTCTGGTGTCTCTCTGATCTCTCTGCTCTCTCTCTGGTTCTCTCTAACGCCTTCAGAAAAAATTACCCACATAAGAAACTTGGCTCCAGCTAGCTTTTATTCAAACCGGCCCCTTCTGCATTCAGCTAACACTATGGGTGCTAGCTACTCGCTCAGTCCATTCTTAATCCACGGTTTCTGGGCAGGACGTTCTCAGTAAGTGCCTGTTTTCTGTCCTGCACTCTTTGCCTGGGACCAGTGCATTAGCTCCGCAGCAGTGTTTACCTTCAGATAGGCTCTCTACGAGTTAGCACCGTGTGTGGTCCAGCGACTGCAGCTGCGCCATTCAAAACATCCAGCCTGCCTCAAACCAGGGCCCGAATGTTTTAATAATGTATTATTCAGGGGTTAAAACATTGGGTTTTCTGGTCAAGAGTCACCTGAATGTGTTTTTCTTCAAGAATCTTTTGCGATTATGGCTAAAAAAGGGTCTATCTTTTTATGTTTATAGTTTGTGCTGTTTTTTTTCTGGCAAAATTATTGTAAAGGAGATGAAAATGTTGTGAATGTTTTGAACCATAAAAGTAAAAATATTTTGGAGATAGTTTACCTTTAATTGCAAAAAAATGATACACAGTAATATCTTTGATTATTTTACATTGTATATACATCAAAATTTGACATCAACATTTTTTATCATTTATTCACCGATCCCGCAAAAATATGAATACATTATAATACATAACAAATATTCACGTTTTTTATTTTGGTGCAATATGTTCTTATTGATCTTCATAGATTGATGATATTTTTTGCATAATTATGAAACATTGACGCGCCACAAATGTATCCAGCTTTTACCGTTAGCTTACAGTGACGGCAAACTGCTCTCTGGTATCACTTGTACATTATACATGTTGAATAATTAGGATGTGGGGAGGTGTATGTTTGAGAAAATTAGGAATTACTCAGAAATGAAAGCTAAAGCAGAGGTTCAGACTGGGACACATGTGCAGCAACCCACCTCCTCCACGTCACTGCCTTTTCAGTGAGGAATCTTCATGTTATCGGCTCAGCTTTATTCGCCACCAAATAGACACAAGAAATAAGAAAAAAGCCAATAGATTCAAGCTATTGTTGCCCCCTTTTCAAATGTTTTGCAGTGTAATGCCTATTTAAGTTATATTTAGATCAGGTATAAGTGTCAACAACTACAATCCAGCTAAAAAATATTCACAATAACATCCCAATAGTTCTAATTCTATTGCTAATTCTAATCTTTTCCTTGATTCTTTCCATATCGAGCTGATCTTAGTCCACATTTCATTCTCTTTTTGACCATTTTAAGACTGTAAATAATGGTTAACCAGTAATATTGTGTGGTAAATGCCTTCTGTCTTCTGCTGGTTGCGTGTCCAGCGTCAGCAGATCCTAAGACAGTGTCAGATAAAACCGTCTCGATGTTTTCTGCCCAGAACTTGCCATATGATCTATCCCTGTCTGCCGCCTCATCACTGTCTGTTTCCTCTGCAGGTCCTTTCATATCACGCCTCTGCATCCGAGGAGGAGACGAGGGAACTGCAGGTAACCGCGGTAAATCCTCTTTTTATTTCACCTCTGCACCACTAATGATACATGCAGTTTCATGTTTTAATTTCACATGGAGAACAGCGCCACACAAATGATTATTTTAGGCCTATAGAGAGTATATTAAGATTTAATTGATAATTGACTGGACTTGAGAAATAGTATCACAAATGTTGTATTGAATAAATATATATATGTTTTTTAAAAACACAATAATATCATTTGAGAGCTCGGGGAATAAAAGGCCGTTCATATTTTCTTGTCTTGCATTCTTGGTTCAAACAAGTCTTTTACGTAATGCCCAAATGAGTTCTAAAGTTCTAAAACATGAAATCTTGTTAGGGGTTGATTGCTCTCAGCACCGTTATTGACCTCAATCCATCCATTATCTTCTGCTTCATCCGTTGCCGGGTTGCAGGGGCAGCAGTCTAAGCAGAGACACCCAGACTTCCCTCTCCAGATCAGATTTAGATTAATTTATCTTCCATTTGCAGTAAAACTACATTGTAATACATCTGCAAAAGTCCCCAGTGTGCACAAGACCACTCCACACACACTTCCACCAGGGGAATCCCAGGCCAGCTGAGAGACACTGGCCCTGGTCTCCCCCTGGTGGGACTTTTCCGGGAACACCTCCCCAGGGAAGCATCCGAAACAGATGCCTAATATATTGATGAAATTCAGTGATTTCTTTTGTGCATTATTTTGTTTTTAGGAGTAAAATTATTAGTGTAATGGCCGAAACAACAATGATGCAACTTAACGCAAACATTTATTCGTCTCCTGTGCAACAATCCTTCTTACTGCATATGTGTAAAGGGTTAGGCTTAGTTTGCTTAAAGGCATATGGGAGGATATGGGTGGATCATCTAGACTATTGGGACTCCACATGTTACCTTGTAGATTTGAATGTTATGAAATGTGAACTAAACCTTTGCACCTGATCCCATCCCAACATTATTTAAGATTTCAGATGCACTGGAACAACAAAGAGACATACAGTTGCCTTCAGGGTCACTGTGAAGAAGAGTAACAGATCTTTGCTGATTCAGCGTGAAGCCGAGTCGTGCAACTCGATATCAGCTGGACCGGAGCTCTGTGCATGTGAAGCTTAGACCAGGAACTAGACCCAGGCCACAAGACCGAAACCACGTATGAGGAATGGGACTCAAGCGGTCGCAGCTAAAGCACCATCATACAGACAGGATGGAGGATGCTTTTTAGTTCAAATGAGCCAATAACTCATGTTTGACCATTTGACCAGGCATGTCAAACTTCCGAATCCGTCTCGCAAGATATTGGGATTTTTTTTCCCCACAAAAACTACAAGAGGTGCAACTCTGAAAATTATTATCATTATTCAAACATTTATTTCTGCAGTTCAACTTCCAATGTGAGACCAATACATGACAGACTTGTATTGGATGGATGGAGGATTACTATTCACTATGTTCATACTATTCAACATGGTTTATTCGGAGATGGAACCAATCATCAACAATAACACATCATGGCTGGATCTATCTCCCTCTGTGTGTTATGCAAGTTGGAAAACAGAAGTAAATGGACTTTTGAACAATATTCTAATTCTCTAAGTCTCGCCTGTATTTGTAAAAATCTTGTCCTTGTCTGAGAATGTTTTCTAATGTGGCGTCCCTGTGTGTAGGTGTCCACGATCCCATCAGCGCAGTCGCTAAAGCTCCTGGACTTCAGCTTCAGTGACTTCGACCTCTCCGACACAGAGACCACACTGGGGGCCGTCCGCATGTTCGTGGACCTCAACCTGGTGCAGAACTTCCAGATGAAATACGCCGTGAGTCTCACATTCACTCAGCTCCGTCTGCTTCCTCTCTGCAGGGACCTGGATACACACAGACACGACACTTTTGATGAAACGGATACGGAGAAAAGAAAGAGAGAGAAACCCCCCAAAAACAATAAGTCACATTAAGACACTTGCACTAGGACTAAAAAGCTGCACGACTATTGCCACTGTTTCTACACACACACACAGACACACACACACCTCTTGAGTCTATAGAAGTCTCTGTTCGTCGCTCCAGCAGAAAAATCCGATTTTCGCTGTCAGACTGAAGTCCAACATAAACCAGACTCCAACAAAGGAGGATTTCTTTGGCTTTAAAGTTTGCAGAATCACTGAAGCGAAGGATCTAAATTGCCCGTTGCGAATGGGTCAGAGATTGAATGCTTGTTTGTTGTCGTGTGGTTGAGGACTTATAAGGACCTGGACTGTCCAGTTTTGGAAAGAAACACTAAAACATAAGTAAATAGATGGAGCCAAGGTAGAGGAAAGTCTCACGTCCCATGTTCACGGTTCTGTCCAGTAGATTTTACATTTCATTAAGATGAGATAGAGATTGTGAAAGCAGATTATTGAATCACGTTTAATCACATTTTTCCAAATTTGAGCAATTTTTGACTTGTTATTCATCACTTTTTGCTGTGTAACACATACATATATTAAGTATTATACATCGCAGCAGAGTAAGAAGCGTGACTGTGGCTCCAGAGCTCTGCAGGCTGCACAGAGGGCATTGTATAGTCTTTATATTACATCTGTATAAACTCATAAAGGCTTAATGGGACCTGACAGACACATCTAAAGGACCACATCTGGCTCTCGGACCAGGGTTTTCCCACCACTGAACTAAAGTATTTGAAACATTGTCAGTTTGATGGACGCCTCTTGTTCTCACAGTCAGATTGGCTCAAAGTGTTTGGAGAAAGCGTGTGGTGCCGATCAGAGTTAGAAGTTGCCAAAGTGTGAGATTGTCGTGTGGAGGTAATGATCTCCTCTGATTAGACTCTGCCTGCGGTGACTCTCATCACTGAATATGTATTAGAGGAAGATGGAGGCATATTGTTTTAATTGTCTCTCTGCTCATTAGGACTTCTCTGCTGCTTATGTAAACTGCGAAATGAGAAATGACACAAGACTTTTTCGGAAAGTGCACTTTTTGAAGCCCTAATTTTTCATGTGTTGATGAGAAGTTTACAACAAAATAAATGACTAATTTTGGATGCTTTTTATTATTATTATTATTACAATTATGCTCAATTCGATTATTTTTTGTACGGCCTAAAACACAACTGTAGTCGTCTCAAAGGACTTTACAGATGTATGTAAACATCAAGAGATCCTTTATTCGTCCCAAACACTGCAAAAGAGCTTGAAGTTTTTTTTTAAATCTTAATTTGAGCATGTTGTGACTTTCTAAAAACAAGATTTGCCAAAGAAATAAGGAAGTTAGTTTTATTTATGTCTCATTCCAAGGAAGATATTTCTTTAATTGTTATGTATCTTTTTAAAACAAGACATTTTTGCTTTGTCTCATTGGCAAATGTTGTTTTTAGATTGTCAAAATGTGGTCAAATTAAGATAAAAACTTGATTAAAGCATTTTATTTCATTTCATTTTCAAGCCCTTTATTGTCCATTTCTGGGTCAGGGGGGTGGCAATGAGAGCTGCCACCCAATGCTCTCAATAGCACCAGTCCCTCGCTGATCTTCTGCAGGGGGTGAGTCCACAGGAAGATGGCTGCTCTGTCAGTGGTGAAACAGCCTTGGTCTTTCATCAGGGGCTTCAGGCAACCTGGGGTTAAGTGTCTTGCCCAAGGACACAACGACAGTAGACATCATTGGGAGCAGGTCCCATGGTGGGAATCGAACTCACGGCCGCTAGGCTCAAAGGCCACTGCTCTACCAACTGAGCTACTGTCGCCCTTTATTTTATTATTATCTTAAGGTAATAAAAATGAAAGCATTTATTACTAATAAATTAATTAAATTGAGAAAGGGTCGTTACAACAGTCTGCAGAAGTCAGTACTTTTCCTCTTTATGTTTTGGTTTTCTGACGGTGGAAGTGTTGGGGCTGGTTTCACCAACAATTCTGCATAAAAGGAAGAAAAGACAAAGCGCGTAATCTTTTCACTTATAAGTGAGAAGCCGTCACAGAGATCAAGACCCAGGTACAATCTAGTCTTTATCAGTGTGATTCCTACAGCTTCTGGGGTCTCTTTTGGCTTCGCACTCCTTTTATTAAGTTTCACGCCCCTAGTTACAGGCACAAGGTCAGCCCTAAAGGGGGAGAACGGCTGACTTGTGGAAAAACATTAAATGTTACATTTGTTTCAAACAAGATGGAGATGCAGTTGATGAGTTACCGCTTCTCGGAAAGTGCGACCTTCCCAGGACAAGCTACTTTTCTTGTAGCCACCTGCTTCTCGAAAAGTGTGACCTTCCCAGAACAGTACACATCTATATTACTCTAACAAGGACTGTAATGGTTAAAAACAAAGCAATGATAAAACATAATGATTATCTAATTATTACAACAGGAAGAAATCTTGTCTACTGAGAATGTAGCAGCTGCTGAGGGGAACTTTTGGATTTTAGCTTTGGTATAAAACCGTATGAACGCTGTGAAACTCTGGTTGTGTCACTTAAATATATATGGAAGGATTGTCTTCTTCCGAGTGGATCATCTAGACTTTTGGCTTTAATTCCATCCAACCTGCAGCCACACCAGCCTTTGAGGACCGCTTTGACCCCCCTGATCTATATTGTCGTCTTCGTCAAGCCATTTTCCATCTGTTGTTGATATAGTTAATAGTAAAAGTATAATAGCTATTTTACCTTGAAGGTCCATTCCTTGCATTTGTTCTAAAAGGCCTTCATGGGTTCTGTGTTGTAATGTTGTGATGTCATCTGCAGAATTTGTGTCAGTGGATTCTGAGCGTGAAAAAGAACTACCGGAAGAACGTGGCCTACCACAACTGGAGACACGCCTTCAACACGGCACAGTGCATGTTCGCGCTCCTCAAGTCGGGACGCCTCCAGGTATGTCCCTGACTGCCCCGGACCAACACTGTCCTTAGACTTAGGCTGTAGATGCAGGTCTGAGGCTGTAGATCCATGCAGGACTCAGGCTGCAGATCCAGGACTGAGGCTGTAGATCCAGGAGTGAGGCTGTAGACCCAGGACTGAGGCTGTAGACCCAGGACTGAGGATGTAGACCCAGGACTGAGGCTGTAGACCCAGGACTGATGCTGTAGATCCAGGACTGAGGCTGTAGACCCAGGACTGAGGCCGTAGACCCAGGACTGAGGTCGTAGACCCAGGACTGAGGCTGTAGACCCAGGACTGAGGCTGTAGATCCAGGACTCAGGCTGTAGATCCAGGACTGAAGCTGTAGATCCAAGACTGAGGCTGTAGATCCAGGACTGAGGCTGTAGATCCAGGACTGAGGCTGTAGATCCAGGACTGAGGCTGTAGACCCAGGACTGAGGCTGTAGATCCAGGACTGAGGCTGTAGATCCAGGACTGAAGCTGTAGATCCAGGACTGAGACTGTAGATCCCGGACTGAGGCTGTATATCTAGGACTGAGACTGTAGATCCAGGACTGAGGCTGTAGATCCAGGACTCAGGCTGCAGATCCAGGACTCAGGCTGCAGATCCAGGACTCAGACTTCACAGGTGCAGGTCGAAAGGTTCAGGGATCCCATAATAACACATTATATACAGTAACTTAACCATGGATTCCTCTGCTGTGTCCTCTGCCCCACACCTCTTCTTCCTCCTGTCCCCAGAACAACCTGAGCGACCTGGAGATGCTGGCCCTTATGATCGCCACGCTAAGCCACGACCTGGACCACCGCGGGGTCAACAACTCCTACATCCAAAGGTGACGTGCTTCTCCCGTCCTCAGGCTGTATGCAGAAGGAAAGCGTTTAGATGAGAGGGGTTCAACTGCTGTTATTTCACACACACAAAAGAAAGCTGTTTGAGGGAGGATGTTTAATGATCCAGGACTGAGGCTGTAGATCCAGGACTGAGGCTGTAGACCCAGGACTGATTTTGATAGATGCTCTTCTTGCTGGTGTCTGGTTTGACCCTAATCTACAGATCCAGTCCTCTTGTTGTTGTTGTGTTGTTTGGAGCATAACACTGTGTGGTCCCACAGGAGTGAGCATCCTCTGGCTCAGCTCTACTGCCACTCCACCATGGAGCACCACCACTTCGACCAGTGCCTCATGATCCTCAACAGCCCAGTATGTACACACACACACACACACACACACACACACAAAAATCGCGTGTCGCACTGTAATTTTTCAGTTTTTGATGTACATTTTTTTGACATCCTCCACGATGCTACCTCCCTCTGGTGGTCTCATCGGCAATTACATGTGGATAGCATTTCTTACATGTTTCTCTATATATCTACAGCAGCCTTTCCCAAACTCAGTAACACCGAGGCCCCCTTAAAAATCTGACGGGTCTGCGTGGCCCCCCAAAATAATAACCAAGAAGACAACATTAAGAATAGGCTCTTCTGGTTATTTTATTTTGGGGAAATAGCCTCTGCTACAAACAGTGTAATACAAAAATGATTACAGTGGATTATTCAAGTCAAATAATGAACACAAATATTTTAATATTACAAACAAAACATTATAAATTTAACATTAAATAATTATATTATTATTTTTTTTTTTTTATGACCTCCCGCGGCCCCCCTGCAGTACCTTCGCGGCCCACCAGGGGGCCGCGGACCCCACTTTGGGAGACACTGATCTACAGTATTATTTCTCATTATAAAATATTAAATGAGTCTGACGAAGTAAATATCATTTTAAACGGCATAAATAAATCATATAAATGACCCTCAAATCATACTTAATTCATCTCAGAAATGCTTATATGTGAGACAGTACAAACTGCTATTGCTAGAATATATATTCATTACATTAGCTTAGTGCATAGTTCTGCTAATATTCCTGCTGTCAAATTTCTACTGTCAAATTACACTAGAATGATCAACACCCTCCAATTTAAGCAGAGCAGGCGTCACTCTAAGACCATAGCGTTTTCTGTGATTAATAATCGTTCCCAGAAGCATCTTTCCCCTCTGCGTTCTCTACTATAGCTGTGTTTGATCCTGGTGCCTGCCTGTGAGGAGGGGACAGGTGGTCTTCTGAGCCCCTGATTAAAGTCCTCAGTGTGAGTCCAGGCTTTGATCTCAGAGGCAGATTTCATCGCAGAGACCCAGGTGTCATGGTAGAAAAGGTTTACGGCCTGTTCCACTCTCTCTGCTTTAAAACGGGCCTATGCACAGAACAGCAAACCCCTGCACGGCAAAAAATGATTAAATATGGGGTAATAAATGTTTGAATCAAGGGGTTTTTCTCTTAATTTGAACTAGATTTGCCAATGGGACAAAGCCATTTAGTCAATTTTCCCATTGGCCAAAATGTGCTCAAATTCCTCAAATAAATTTGAGGAATTTTAACTTATTTTTCATTACTTTTTGCAGTGTGGGATCATAGATAAATAAATGAATATATGCAAGATATAGAAGAATATTTTCATTTTTATAACTTTATCCCTCAGCAATTGGGTCACATGAAACCATATAGATGTAGGAAAATCTTGTGTTTGCGTCTGTGTGTTTTTGTGTGTATGCGTGTGTCTGTGTTTGTGTGTCTGGTCTTCCTGGTAACCCATGAGAGTAGTAATCAGGCCGCATCACTGCCATGTGCCGTGTCCTTCCACCAGGGGAACCAGATCCTGAGCGGCCTGTCGCTGCACGAGTACAAAGCCACGCTGAAGATGATCGAGAGGGCGGTCCTGGCCACAGACTTGGCGCTCTACATGAAGTACGCACAGACACACACACACACACACACACACACACGCACACACTCACTGCTTTTGGCTTGGGTCCATCTAAATAGCGTGGTTTTGTCTAGAATGTTCCATATTGTGGTATTACATTTTTTTAGTGGCCCTAGAATTTTCAGTAATTATTATGGGCTTCCATGGCATGTTATGCATCATCTCATTCTCTCAGGAACGCAACCACATTTATTTTATAATAAAACATTAACCCAACACAACATTATAAGTTAATTGGTGAAATATAAAACAATGTGTTTAAGTTTAATATTTGGTCAATTTTTGGTTGAATCCAAACAATAGAAAAACAAAAATCGACCATAAAATAACAGTGAAACTCGTGTCACATTAAAGTCATGTCAAAATACATACAGGCTCAGGATATCTGCAGTTTCAACAATTATAATAAAGTGCAATGATCTACATTGAGATGAATAAACATGTCACTACAGAGTGAGGGAGACGGACATAGCACCATATTGTTTGTTACAGGGATGAGGGACATTTCAAAGAAGTCTGAAATGTATGATGTCAGCCAATGGCTGTCATTGAGTCTGTTTGATTTGTCACATTTTACTTTTGAGCACAACCAACATGAACTGTTAATGCAAGAGGAACATTTATGTACCCCAGCTTTAATTTAGCGAGTTTAGTCGCGCTTTGGGAAGAGACCAAGGCCAGTCCTCCCCTGGACATAGTCCATCTTTAAAATGATTTATTTATTTGCATAGTTTTTGCAGATGACGAATTCTGAGACTACTGCCTTTAAAACAAAACAAACAATAGTGTTGTTGTGTGACACTGTTGTTGTGTGACAGTGATGTTGTTGTGTTGCAGGAGGAGAGGGGAGTTCTTTGATCTGACCAAGAACAGTCAGTTTGTGTGGGACGACGAGGAGCATCGAGAACTGCTGAGGTACACACACAAGCATTTACATACAGGCACACACACACACACACACACACACACACATATACATACACAAGCATACACACATACATACAGGCACACGCACAAAACACATATACAGTAAATACACACAGCCTCTCACAGCAGTGTGTGTCTCTTCAGGTCGATGTTGATGACGGCGTGTGACATCTCCGCCATCACGAAGCCGTGGCCGGTGCAGAAGAGGGTAAACTCCACGAACATATACTTTGTTTTTGTTTATTTTCTCATTCACTGTCAGTGTGAAAACCTTCTTTATCCTGTTACTGAAATACTTTAAGATTAAATGACTTTGTCCCTCCGGCAAAAATTGTTTTAACACAGTCAGAATTAACTCAAATTAATATTTAAAACATACAAAGACACACACTCACACAGGCTTTGTCCTATCGGCAAATCTTGTTTTATCTCAGCAAGAATGAACTCAAATCAAGATTAAAAACACACAATTCAAGCATTTATTACCTACCATATATATTTTTTCCGTGTGCCGCTGTGATTGAGGGATAAACAAAAATCTATTGCAATTTCTGAAGGAATTACATATAAATCAAATAACTTTCTTCTGTGTGGTTCAGATCGCAGAGCTGGTGGCCACAGAGTTCTTCGAACAGGGCGATAAGGAGAGAGAGGAGCTGAAGACCGAGCCCAGCGTCAGTGACTCAGGATTCTATCTGTAGATTGTGGACCGGACTCAGATTGAAACCACTTTGTTCTTGTTGTTCTAGGATCTCATGAACCGAGAGAAGAGAGACAAGATTCCCAGCATGCAGGTGTCTTTCATCGACGCCATCTGCACGCAGTTATACGAGGTAAAAAAACCTCTCAAATATCCTTCTTTAAAACACTTGTGAGTCTCAGTTACAGGTTTGAGTTTCCAGATTTTACAATGACAGAAGGATTATAAACATTAAATGGGATTGGAGAAAGAAGAAGACTTAAAGAGAGAGATTTAGGGTTGAAGTTAGAGCTGTGTGGCTTCTCACAGATATTGACAGTTTGCTACACTATTCATATGTTGACTTTTATTCACGCAGGTAAGAACAATTCAGATGTAAAGTTTTTTTACAAAGGTGATCGGATTTGAATCATGTTTTTGATAAACAGAACTGTGCACTGCTTTGTTTTGTACCTTTTCTGACAGCTCTTGTATTTAAGTCTGGCATCTTTCAGAGCCTGTCGATATGAATCATGACACAGGAACATTCAATTCGAATATATATATATTTCTAAACAATACGATTCTGTAAAAAATAAAGGCTTTTGGCCTCAACACTGTTGATGCAATTATATTGTATTTATTTACATGTAGGTCAAAATGTCCAGAAATAGACAAAAAAAGGGAAAACTTTATGAGTCATAGCAGCAGCCCCTCGCTGATCCTCCTGCAGGTTGTGGACGGCTGCTCAGTCAGCGGTGACACAGCATTGGTCTGGGTCTAAAGTGGGGTTAAGTGTCTTGCCCAAGGAGTAGGTGACATGAGTAGTAGGGGGATCGAACCTACAACCATTATGTTGAGGTTGATATGAGTAAATGAAAATAATCAATATTGTATATATTTCTAAAAAATATTAATTAAAAATCACATTTTATCTCACTCCTACTTGTATAACTCATTATCTAGAACAAAAATGAAAGTTTCTGTCTACTCACTACACTCGGTGTCTCCGCAGACGTTGTCGGGGATGTCGGAGCACTGCAGTCCGCTGTTGGAGGGTTGCCAGAGGAACCGACAGCAATGGAAGCATTTAGCTGAGGAGTGCGAGGAGAGCCTGGTGAACGGGCTGGTCTTCAGCATGTGACAGCCTGGTCTTCAGCGCACGACAGCCTGACCCTCTTAGCGTGGTGTGGGGAACAATTGTATAAACCACTGCTGGATTTCACGACTTTAGTCCAACTTTAGTCCAATTAACAACATCACGGTTGTTATTTAAAGTCTCAGCAGTTTCCAGTTCTTACTCATGTATTATTGTTTGTGGCGTACGGTGGGAGCCTTTACATGTCATGGTGTATCTCAGGAGCACATACACAACAGCCTTAGCCTTGTTTTTATGGTACCAATTCCTGGGCAGTACTTTTTAGACGGAGGCCCATATAAAATGACACAGAAGGCCGCAATTTGCTCTCGGGCCTGAGTTTGGACTTGTCTGATCTAATTGATGTATTCAATGGAACATAACTTGAGAAAAGAGTTGACGTTTTTAACATTTATCAAATCATATTAGACAAACTTTTTTGGTTTTTGGACCCAAAAGTTTTCAGTATTGTTGTATTGGAATAACGGTGGATTTACAGGAGTTTAAAGTTGTGGTTTCTTTTATCAATATAAGTAAGTTTACAAGTTACAAACACATGTTAAACATTAAGAAACAAAAAGCATTTGGATTTACACACACAAGATAGATTCTCACTCATCTGTTCTTTCACAAAGTCCTGGGAGCAGCAGTAGACGTACACTGCAAAAAATGATCAAATATGAGGACAGAAATGCCGGAATCGACTGTTTTTAATCATAATTTGAGTAGATTCTGACTGTATTTAGACAAGATTTGCCAATTGGACAAAGCCATGTATTTTTTTTTGAGACATAGTACTTTATTTTCTCATTCCAAGGGAGACATTTCTTGAATTTTTTTAATACAAGATCCTTTCCAGTCAAAACGTGCTCAAATTAAGATATATTTTTGCAATTTTTCACTTCTTTTGCATCACTTTTTGCAGTGTAGTAGTTCAAAATCCAACGTTTTTCTCACTTTTTCTGAGTAACATGATTCTGGTCTAAGTCAAGCTTGTTCCCCGCACCACGCTCTGGCCTCAGCCCTCACTGATTTTTTTTTTTAGATCACTTTTCCAGAGACGATAACCAAGTCGGCACTAAGCTATATTTATTCTCAGAGCGACGTTTTTATTTTTGCACCGAGTGGCTTTATATCCGGAGCTTTCTCACTCAGCAGGAAGCGCCGGTTTCACCTTCACTACAGTCTGACCCGCTTCACATCACAGCTCACGACCGGAGTGGAGTCTTTTGTACGTCTCACCGTCTTAACTATTGCATATTTATTTCGTTTGATATATTTATTGCCTGTATCTTTTCTCTTTTGCCGAGAGCACACAGGTCTTAGGACACAGGAGCAGGTCGAACTGGTACCAGAAAGGACTTCACTCATTTTCCTCAAGAGAGTCCAGTAGGAAGTAGGAAGTGGGCTGCTTGAGGCCATACGCAGAAAATATGTTGTCAATATGCACGAAGTGAGTTGGAAATCACCCGGGAAAGTCCAAGAACACGGGCGATACACACACATAAACACACAAAAATAAAGTCGTGACCAAACATATTTTTATCATAACGAAAGTACAGATACTTCAGATTTACTCCTTCTGGGCATCATTTCTATTCATACATTTACTTATCTATGTATTCTCTTTTGCTTTACTTGCCGTGCTGATCTGTACCTCAAAGTCCAACCTTGTAAAACCCAGATACTCAAATAAGAAAATGACGAACGGACGAAACGAACGAGGAGCACACAGCACAAGATAAGGGAAAGATAACTGCATACTAAAATAGAATAATAGCAGGTATACAATCTTTAGCTTTAGCCCAATGAAGAAGCAAGTATAAAATCTCCAGCTTTAGCATAATAAAGAAAAACCTAGAGACTTGAAGCAGTGGGTGGAGCCTGGTGTGCTCCTGCTTGGTGGGAAAACCTGCAACCACACCAGCCTTTTCTGGAACCAGTTGTACCAGCCCTGTCTTAGGACACACCGGTTCTCTGCATCGAGTGTGAATTTGAAAATAAAAAGTGGTGATGTTTTTTTTTTTGTGATGTAAAAAGAGCCAAAGACTAGGCCTGTGCTTTCGCGAAATGGGCCTAGATTTTTCCACTGCCTTGTGATAAAAACTGACCAATACATTCAATTTTGAAACGAAATATTACACAAAGGGACATTTCCGATTCTGATGTTTCCCATGCTAACTTTTCATACAGTGTTTCGCAGCCGTGAGACGTCTATTGGTAATAATAATTCTTTAAAATAACAAGTGCAATTTGACCTGATCCTACCAGCGGTACTTTGACCTCTGAAGCATTGTAAATCTTGTAGAATGTGGCGTCAGAATGTCTGGGAAACACATGCTTGATACAGATACAGAGATACAATGCTTGGTTTGTACAGTTTGACTATAACCCCAGTTTTTTTTTATCGTCAATGACTGTGTATTTTGAATGTCATATGAACCCTGTAGATGTTTCTGCTTTCATTTTGTACGACTTTAACATGAGGGCATTACTATAGTGATTTAAGCACATTCAATAATAATAATAAAGTTACATGTTTATGAGTTTAGCGTTTGGAGATGGAGACTGCCCCTGTCAGGTCACTGTAGAACACTGTGAGCTCATTAAAGATGAACTTATTTTAAGGCTTTGTCTCGTGGATCTGAACAGAAATGCTGGGGATAAACAGAAACAGATGTGGGGTTGGACAAGTGCAGGATAAGGACTTGGGTTTATAAAATCTGAAACTACTAAAATGCCCAGAGATATAGATACTTTAGTGATCCCCGTCGCAGAAATTCAGGAAATTATAACCAATTCCATTCAGGATTATTATATCCAATTGATTCTGAGAAATCCCCCAAAAAAGTGAGTTAGTTTACATGTGTTTTTTTCTTCACTCACTTCTTATAAGTGCAAAAAACAGGTGGATAAAACTGAAATACAGCAACAACAATAGACGGTTGGACGAAAAGTGATCAAATGCTAATTTCCAGTGAGAGAACAGTGTGTTGCTATGGTAACTAGCACTCGCTCAATAAAAGACATAGAAATAAATTACAGATAGAAACAGTCAAAAAGTTATGAAGACCACAGATGTACATACGCTTTCAAAACTAAAAGCCGTCAAATTGGCTGCTCTTGGGTTGGATTTGTTTTGGTTGCTTTGACAGATCTTTCGTTCACTTCTGGTGGTACACCAATACAACCTGCATCTACTCAGATTATAGCAACTGGTTATTTTATTATTTAAATTTTATAACACAAGATTACGTGTTGGTTAGATTTACTATAGACACACTGAAAAACATACTAAAAATATTGCAAAATAGGGTTAGAAATAATTTAATGTTGTTTCTTATTAACTTGTTCCTTTGTAAAGCATATTTGAGTGTCCAAAAGAGCGCTATACAAGTACGGTGTATTATTAATAATAAAAACTATTGAATTAGCAGGATTTATAACGTAATGATGGCTCCACGTGCCCTGCGCTGCACTGCCCTCTACTGGTGACAAACAAAACCACTCGACTCGTTTCACAGTAGTTTTCTTTATTAATTTGATCCTTGTAAAAAAGTTGAACACACATAAAGCTATTCTCTAAAACAGACTGACAGAAACGAACTAAAGAAGAGAAATATTTACAGTTGTGGAAAGAGCGAGTGTTGTGCGGAGGACGAGATCACACAGAGTCTGTGCGTTTGTACGCCACCATGCTGTTGACTTTGTGGATGGACGTGGTGAAGGAGCGCAGACGCACCTCCTCTGATTGGCTGATGATCTGAGGGCCAGACTCCTCCCACTTTTCAGGGACCACCAGGTCTTTGTCCGTGTACACCAGCAGGTCAAAGGCACCTGGACACGACACACACACAAATCTCTATGATTGAAACTCAGAAGCAAAAGCCAAATACAGAGCCTGAATTCTCAGTCATGTCAAAGGGAGAAGTAGAAATATCCCAAACTAAATGGTAATATTCATAGAAGTTTGTCACCCTGATTCATACCTCATAAAAATGTTCAATTGTGAATGAAAAGAATTAATGGTAGGTTTAGTACAATCACAATAATGAAATAAACAAGGATCCTTGCTGTACTTTCTGGACTACAAGCCACACCTGTTTATAAGCCGCACCACCTACGTTTTAAAATAAAATTCTGTTCTCTGCACATAAAGGCTGCACTTGAATATAAGGCTATAAGGGGGTAAAGTAGCAGAGACGACTCATGGACACAACATGAATTAATGACAAGATTTTTAACAGCTTCACCGTTAATTCACCTTCATCTGTTTTGACAATAACAGATGACGGTAAAGCTACAGTGTTCTGTAGCTGCTAAAACTTGGAGTCAGAAATAACAAGTCCATTAACTCTGCTTTGACAACTCTACCACAATTAAAATACACATTAGACGCATCACTATATAAGCCGCAGGGTTGAAAGAACTAGAAAAAAGTAGTGGCTTTTATTACAGAAATGATGGTAATTCCTCTTGGCTTTCACCGATCAAAACCTGTGATTTATCCCGTCATTTAGAAAACAGTTCATTCAATGTAGTTCAGTTTAATAGTCCACTTTAAGTTCCACTGTACTTCCACCCATCGACAAAACCCCATTTTCTTTAAAGAATATAAAGTTCTTGTTGTTCTACAAAGCTTGAATATCAACATGAACACCTGCATCGTGGCGTTAAGGAACACACAGGTCAGAAAACTCACATGGCGTCTCCAGCAGCGGCAGAAAGGTGACCGTGGCTGTGACCTGCCGGATCACGGAGCGGATCTCGTCCTGAATGGTCTTGATGGACTTCTGTCTGGGGGCGCTGGACACACACACACACACACGAGGGTGAGCAGAGAATAACAAGATAATCAGACAGTTTTTTTAAAATCACACAGCAGTGGCGAGAGCGGTGTCCGAACCTGCTCTCTTTGGCCAACTTATCGCACTCGACGTCGAACTGCCACCGCTCCAGGACCTCGTTGGTTTCCAGACACGTGATGACCAGGACCAGCCTCTGCACGGTGCACTCGTACAGCCACTCTGAGACACACACACACACAACATACATAAATAAAAGTTAGGAAAGAGAGAAAAAATCTATGGAGGAGGAAATCAATATTGTATCTAACAAAAAAAATAAAAAAACACCAGTACTGATTTTCTACTACAGATTATACATTTTAGTACATATCATTATAAGGATTTCTGACGTGTTGGAGCCAGCGCTGTCGACCAATCACAGCTCTTTCAGCCCCGTTCTGTTAAACCCTCAGAGTAAACACGGGCTTCACCTTTGAGCTGCGAGACCACGTTGGTGAGGTAGTTCTTGAGCTTGGCGTCGGTGGTGAGCTGCAGACTCATGTCGTAGTGAGTGACGATGCTGAAGGACTCTGGAGGGTAGATGCCTCGCTGGTACAGGATGCTGTTGATGCCAAAGGCTGAACACAAAGACACCAGGTGAATCAGTGTAAACAGACTTTAGAATATGTAATTTCAAAATGTCAGATTTAGAGCTTTTCAGGCCTTCATTTTGGCCCAAACAACTTTAATAACACTTTTTGTGCACTTGTGTATAGTAGCAATTTTGCAAAAAGTTAAATAAAATTTTGATTTCTTCTTTATGCATGCCTTTTTCCATTTTTACTGTTATAACTTGTTTGCACCTTGAGGCAAAGAAATGTACTAGATTGTTACAATGACAATACAAATAATTCTGATACTAATACTATTTTTTTTATTTAAACCATGTGGCTACCCAGATATTGTCAATTTAGTTTGAAATATATTTGAATTGGATATTTGTCATCCATGATCCAACCATACATTTATTTCTAATTTATTATTTCTTCCAGGTCACAGGGGCAGCAGTCTTAGCAGAGACTCTCAGACTTCACACACTTCCTGCAGCTCATCTGGGGGACTCTAAAAGAATTCCCGGGCTAGTTGAGAGACACAGTCCGTCCAGTATGGCCCAAGTCTTCCCCATTGTTCCTACTGGTGGAACATGCCCAAAACACCTGCCCAGAGAGACCTCCCAAACAGATTCCCGAGCGACCATCACTGGCTCCCCTTGACGTGGAGAAGCAGCAGCTCTACCTCAAGCTCCTCAGGCTATCTCGGCATGAGTCCAGCCCATGTCACTCTGCAGAGGAAGCTCATGTAGACCTGTGTCCCTTCAGATATTTGTCAAAATTCAAAAAAGGAAAAGGAAAGGAAAGCAGCAGAACAACCCAATAATCATGAGAGTAAAAGAGAAAATTAGGTGTGTTGTTGTGTGATATTAAACGTCACGTGTAACTTATTAAATGCCCTGTGGCTGCTGACCATTGTTGACAAAACCAATGGAATGAAGACAGGACGTGTAATGGGCGGGGCTGAAAACGCTGTAATTTATGACAAATTCAGAATATAGAATTACGTAAATATACTGCGTAAAAACATGGAATCACGCGTCTCCTGAGTGTTAAATCCATGTAGAAACCACGCTTATGCATCTCCTGTAGTTGCAGCCATGACCCAGTTCCACACGGGCCTTGCTCCTGGGCTCTCGGCTTCTCCAACAAAGGTCAGACAAAAACACGCATTAGTCGTTTCTTTTACTCACAGAAGAACTCGGCCACCAGCTCCGCGCTCCCCTTCAGCGTGATGCCCTGCAGGGTGCTCGTCATCTTCGCACTAATGTCTTTATTCTGAGGAAAAATCTGCTTCTGTTGGAGTTCAGTCGCACAGCTTCAGTACCCGCCGAGCAGTTTGAATTGTGCCGGAGCTGCGCATGCGTCAGAAAGCAGACGTCGCAGCGCTGATGACGTGGCAGACTGCAGTGTCGTGTGTGGCCACTAGAGGACAGTGTTTAGCCACAAACCCATAGATCAATGTACGGTCTATTTGATATTTACAGTTATTTACGGTCTTTGCATAAACCATATTTATTTAAAATATCTTTGGTTTCACTGAGTTTTTTTAACACACGAAAGTTCTTTTTATTTGGTATTGTCTTGTATTTATTGTCGTTTGTTTTGCTTTAGTTTTTTGTTTTGTTTTTGTTCTTACTCTGTTTTTATTTTTTATTCCATGTTCAAATAAATATTAATTAATTTATAACACTCGAAAGTTGTGTGGTAGTAGTGTTATTATTATTTACTATTTTTATCATTATGGACATTGTTTTTATTTTTTTATCTAAATTTAAATTGAGGCTTGAACTCTGATCTCCTCACCCCATTTTTAAGGGAGAGCCCTCAATTGTGTCCTTTCTGTCATTACTAAAAACTAGATGTGATGGTGAGAGCCAGTGAGCGGTAATGTCAATGTCAATGTCAGCTGTATTTGTATGCACATATATTTGTAACGCACATTTACAACAATCTGCCCAAAGTGCTCAATACAATGTGTATAAAAGAAATGCATTAAACCAGATGAGAACCCTCCCTCCCTTCTTTTTTATTCATTCATTCATATTAGTTTGAATGTTATTTAAATATTCCTCAGCATTGTTTCTGTTTAATGTAACATCACTTCCTTGTTGGATGCTTCCAGATAAAGTTTATTAAAGTTAAGAAACAGCATGACATACACACAAACATATGTAAAAGGTAAATCCAGAGTTTTCCCTTTGGCCTCTGCCTCCTCTGCACCACAATATCACAACATCACAACATACCTACAACACAACTCGTATGTCACATGGTAATCACATGTTTCTATTTCTACCGACCACGTTGCCCTTCGGTTGTTTTTCTTCCTGTTTTGGGGTATTCCAAACGACAGTAAAAATACGTGTTTACAAAAATAGACCTCAGCGGTGGGCAGTTATTGTAAACACTGGACCTGAGGCTCTGCTGCTGCTCGTAAAGAGAGGCTGCACAGAAGACTCCTCATTAGCACTGGGCCTGTGGAGCCTGTGGAGCCTGAAACAAAAATCAAACACAAAAATACACAAAAAGAACACTTAAACGATTAGCACCACTACATGATGCCAACAGGGTTACTTCTCCTTCTCTGGATGTTAAATCCCTCTGAAAAAGAATATTCCGAATGGATGTTCAGCTAAATAAATAAGTAAGTGTTATTATCTGGTGCACACTGAGGTAGTCTTGCACAGTTTTTCCAATGGGGTTTTACTGCAAATGGCAAATAAATTCTTGTAACTTGTATCTAAGTTCAGTTTTATCGCACTGCACTGGGCTCACAAACAGAACAATGATAACATAAAATAGCAAAACGTGAAAGTAGAAATGATAACGACAAGCTCCATGAACATCGCTGGTGTTTAATGCACCTTCAAAACTATTTATGGTAATTAGTGTCAATTATGATTAAGATATATATCAAGATATATATAAGTTGTTTATAAGATGTCAAATTAATTGAATCATTTGAAATTCTGTAAAAGCAACAAAAGAAAAAAAAATGTAAAAGGGGTAAGAAGATTTTTTTTTACTTCGGCTTTTTTTCAAATTGTATATATATGTTTTTTGTATTTTTTGTATTGTATAAAATAGACGGGCCAGTGAGGGTCAGGACAATGATTCTTGACATTTATAAACATATATTTACATTCACGGACATTGGTCATCTCCCCCCGATGGAATAATGGCTCTATATGTCAAGGGTGTCCAAACATTTAAGTACGAGGGCCACTATAGTTCATCAAAATCACCCAGGGGCCGACAACACACACTGACTGAATTCGGGCTTTAAAACGAGGTATGACATCTGCATATGGTTCATATTTGACCGAGCTGAAGTTGGCTGAATGACCAATATTTACTCACTCAGCGACATCAGCGTCACACAACGTCAACGCCTGGATTCCTGAGCTTCACAATGAGGTACAACATGTTGGCAGAGCTGAAGTTGGCTGGATGACACTGTGGACTTGCCTTTATGGGTACTTTGTGTTAGCAGCAGAGGGCCACATAACAGGACACAGAGTTTGGAAATGCCTAAGTGTTTGTTATTATTATTACTATTATATTGCCTGTATTCAAGATTTTTGATTCTCTGATCTGCTGTTGGTGAATCGAGAACCTTGAAAGACGACTGCCGTGATTTAGGGCAATACAAAAATAAACGTAACGTAATTGAAGCTCCTTTTACCAGCCCTCTCTACTTAAACACAGGCATATCTACTTCTAAGCTCTGGACTTTATTACTGACTCCAGATCAGGTTGTGGGTGATTTACACCCCGTTACTACGACAACAGGTGCCATTTTACAACCGTGACTTCACCCCACGCAGATCTGTCCAGCAGTATCCACTTCTACCACATCCAGAGCCCAGGCCTTTGAACGCACCTCTTTGGAAATCAACCAATCAATAACATTTATCTAAAAAGTGACATTCATGCAGTGTAATTCAGGTGTGTCAAAACCAGTAGCTCGCCAGCCACTTTCAGGTAGCTCGCCAAAGGATTTAGATTTTAAAACATGATCTTGAATGAATACATTTTGACCCATTACATATCTATTATAATTATAAATCTAGGGTTATACAGTATTATAGTGTATTTTACATGTTTTGTCGTAATTATTATATAGATTTTTACTACGACTGCTCAAAGGAGTAGCTCTCTGCCTCTTCTGTTGTATACAAGTAGCTCTCCTATTGAAAAAGGTTGGAGACCCCTGGTGTAACTGAAAGTGCCTCAGAAGCCAAAAACAACACACAAACTACTAAACAATGAATTATAAAAACAGTGCAAACACATCTAAAACATAATGTGTTGAAAATAAATAAAACAGAAAAACAATATGATAGAGTGATAGAAAGACATTGATGTTATTGAAGTGATGTAGATGAAACTCAAGTCAAAACTAACTATTTTCAAGATTCAGTAAGTAATCTTTATTTATATAGCGCCTTTCACAGACCAGAGTCACAAAGCGGTTTACAATTGTTATTTTTAGGCATTTGTCTCTCACTCCACACAGAGATGGGGCCAGTACAGGAGGCGCAGGCCAGACCTATTGTACATGTTTTTAGTGGAAACCGGAGCACCCGGAGGAAACCGGAGCACCCGGAGGAAACCTACGTAGACACGGGGAGAACATGCAAACTCCACTCAGAAAGGCCCTGTTCCGACCGGGATTTAAACTCAGGACCTTCTTGCTGAGAAGCGAGAGTGCTATCCACTCAGCCACCGTGCTGCCCGTGATTCTGAGAGAGAGACTGGAAGTAACTGATGGCTGTTTCTTTTTGCTTCTGTGGTTGAAAGACGATTGTCTGTTTTTTTAATAATCAGGATTAAGTTTAAAATGGCCAGAATCTGTTGGATACAAAGACAAAGTGAAGTGGTCTAGATTCTCCTGTAGACAGTGAGACATAGGTCTGAGTGTGACATCACCGTGATTTTGGTAGGACATATCTTCAGTGTGAAGTGGTATCACAAAAATGATAAAATATGAGGTAATAATCATATTAATCAAGTATTTTTAAATCTTAATTTTAGTTCATTCTGACTGTCTGAAAAAAAGATTCACCAATGGAACAACGCCATTTAGTCTTATTTCAAGAACTGTTGCTTTATTTTCTTAATTCTTGTAAAACCAGATCACTGTTTTGTCCCGTTGGCAAATCTTGTTTTAAGGCAGTCAGAATGTGCTCAAATTAAAATACAATTTACCAAATTTGAGCCATTTTTGACTTAATTGTTATCACTTTTTGGCAGTGTATAAAGATGAAACAACAAAGGTCCTAGTACCGACCCTTGTGGTACTCCTCAAGTTCAGTTAATATGGTCTGAAACACAATCTCCAAGCTGTGGCTCATTACTATTTCTGCCTCGGCTCACTTCATTCAGTCCCTGTTTTTAGACTAGATTTAGAAAGACCTCCGGCAAAAGGGCAGAGGTGGAATCAAAGAGACATTTACGAGAGTGCGGTAAAAAAAGGAGGTTTTATTAGGTTTACTGTAGGTGAGAGGGGAAGCATTTACAGACACGCGAGGACAGACACTTTTAGTTTTATTTGAAGGGAACATGGTCGGTGGGAAAAACTGGTACAGAAGAAACAATTGACTGAAAGTAGATTTTGTTTATGTTGTGATTGAAATAACCGATGTGTGCGATATTAGTCATGACACAAACACACAAACTCAATTAAAACATATAGAAGAAATACATATGGTTGGTGTGGGTGAGTGTGTGTGCATTTATGTGTGTGTGTGTGTCTGTGTACGTGCATGTATGTGTGTGTACGTGTATGTATCTGTGTGTACCTGTATGTATGTGTGTGTGTGTGTGTGTGTGTGTGTGTGTATCTGTGTGTACGTGTGTCTGTGTGTGTGTGTGTGTTCGTGTATGTGTGTACGTGCATGTGTGTGTATGTCTGTATGTACTGTACGTGTATCTTTGTGTTTGTGTGTGTAAGTGTATGTATGTGTGTGTGTGTGTCCGTGTGTGAGTGTGTGTATTATCTGTGTGTACGTGTATCTGTATTTGTGTATGTGTGTGTCTGTGTGTACGTGTATCTGTGTGAGTGTGTGTGTGTGTGTGTTTGTTACATACTGTTAATGACACAATGTGTGTTCTGTTTTTTTTGCTATCCCTCCAGTTTAGTTGCTTTAATACTACAGTAACAGCTCTGTTTACGCAGATACGAGTTATTTATATGTTACGTATGTGTTATTTATGTGTTATATGTGCTATTTGTGTGTATATGTCTCTGC